CTTGGGCTTTCGCGGGGCTTAGAATTAGAGATCTCGCATGTAGAATTTCAGGGCTTATGGTATTGTTGGTGTATGGCCTTCGGGAGAACAACTCGGACAATCCAGGCCGAGCAAGTGTCTTTAGGTCGGATGAGTGCACACAAAAACTACAGTACTATGAGACGATAATGTTCTGATTGTTGTTGGTTCCGATTTGAGTGTTGCGCGTCGATGTTGTGCACTCTTTTGCAGGTCAGTTGGAGATGGCTTTCAAGCTTGGTGATTTAGGCATTCTCGGGTCAGGGCTTCAGCAGGTACAACCAGGTTTCGGTACGAATTAGGGTGCACGATCCAAGGAACATCTACATTCCAGGTTAAGTGTATGAAAGGTTCAAAAGCTTTTGGGCTGATGTCTATAGGCGTAATAAAGATGCCTTAAGGGTAGGACTTGCAGATACTTGTGGCTCATGGGTTCGCTGATTTATTAGGCTTCACGGGGTCGAGGCTCGTGGTTGAGGATACAACAATATTGGTCTGCCATCTAGCTCAACCAAGCCCGCCTTCATGAAGAGAAAGAAGAACCCTGCAAACCCCAAGAACGCCATCAAGCGTCAATAAGTGCGATCACCTAATGTAGGGGCCTTAATATTTAGAATAGGGTTTTGGAGGTGTATTATATTATAACCATAATAAGGAACCCCCACAATAGCGTAGGTACTCATTTAGGCCCCCCATAAGAAGAGACCCGAACATCAAAACAGGCTGCCGACAGGTGCTGAAAGCTGAGAGGGATCATCCAAATTCAGCATCATAATGCAATCATTCGGGCTCATTTTCTGCAAGGCTTCTGCCTCTTCAGCTGTTGCAGCTATAGGTCAAAGAACGATATGCCGATGATATGCGAAAAGCGCACGGCCTTCTGAGACAGTTCAGGTGTGTACAGGGTTCGCTTAAACTTCCTAAACCTTGCACCAATCCCCGAAACGGCCGTCAGGAATTGGTAGGACGATGGGAACCAGGCTTACGGAAAGTTATCTAGATCCATCTTGCATAGGCCGTAATCCCAAGTCCCTTAACAGCTCCGTCTGAATTTTGCATGGCAGATATGCCAGTTGTCTGTAGGAGGCCTGCGGAAGCATGAGGAACAGAGTCACATCGGTAGTTGGCACATGCAACGCAAACCTATACAAACACGCCTTCGACTGTAGTGTTGGTGGCTTAGGGCTCAAAGGCAATAGGCTTCGCTTCCTCTTGCCATGGACTGTTACGCCTTTCCTTCCGGTCAGGGGGATTCTGCTAGCTTCGTGCCTGCTGCCGCCTGTGACGGTGACGGCCTGGGTTTATGTGCGGCGTGCTTTTTCGCAGTGATGAACCTTAACTGCGCTGCAAGAGCAACAACAAACTTAAAGCCGATGGGCCTTTAGGATGCCCTTTGATCAAGGCACGACCTGCACATGAAACTTTCAAATCAGACACGCCACCAGCTTTCGAAGATCTGATCCGGCTATAGGAAAACTAATCAAAACTATAGATTATTCCACATCCTTCCCACTCACTGTGCGGGTTGCTTCAGCTTGTCAAGCCCCGACACGATCTGCGTGGCAACAAGGAGTCCAGGAGTTCAGGTGGGAACATGTTAGACGGGGCCCCCACCCTGTAATAGTGGTATAATAGGAATATAATAGGGCCCTATATAATATCCCTATAGTCACTATTACAGGGTGGGGGCTGCTTCTAAGGAACATGTCTCAAGTTTCGCGCTTCGAGTTTTGAGGTCAGAGGCGGTTGTCGGGATTGAACTCCCGCGACGCAAGACACTGGCAGTACTGGCGGCAGCAATGAGCATGGCTTACCTCTCGGCTCCATCGATCCGGCTCACGCTGCAAAACTGTGTGTGCATATGTTTATATATATATATATATATATATATATATAAATGTTTTCGGAATGGCCATGAACATATATACATACATACATACATACATACATACATAAGTATTTGTACATGTATGTATGTATGTATGTATGTCAACGTATGCTCATACATACGAGTTGAACACACACACACACACACAGAAAAACACAACAAAAAAATGACTACACGCATACAAACAATTGAGCACCTAACAACAGTGAGGTGCACATGCATATGCCTGGTACGAGTGCACAAACGTGCGCATGCAGAAACTCTTGCAACCCCCTTGCGAGTGCCCGGAGCATGTTACACACATCGTGCTGAACACCTGTTTCTTCAAACGTGAGGGTCCCGTAGTTGTATCTTCCATGAACCTTCAGGCAACCTATGCAAAGAGTGCAACTACGTTGGAGAGGAACTGCCTTGATGTCCTTGACGATATCCCCCGCCCTGATCTTGCGAAGGAACTTGTCGCCATCGGTCACATAACCTGTTCATGCACAGAGTGGAGCTTCAATGGGTTTAGGGTTTTTTTGACACTCACTCGCGGACAAGCCTGGCAAGGTCTGCAGCAATAGGTTTAGGGTTTAGGGTCGTCTTCAATAGACAAAGCCTTCGCAGTCAGGATTTCCGACGAACATGCGGCTCAAAGGGGTCAGCTGCTTCCTTACCGTCCTGCATATAGGGGTTTCCGAAAGTAGGGGACCCCAATACAGTACACTAAATAGTAGGATCCTTATTATAAGGGCCCCCCAAATTAGGTACCCCTTCTTTTCGGAAACTCCCCTATGACACCATGCTCTGCTGCACCAGGGCTTCATGAAAAATGACTGCTTCAAGCAGGACCTGTTGACATACCCAGAGATTCCAATATCCCTTCATTAAGGAATATGCCTCAAATCATATTAGGGATCCTACCGTAGTTTAAGGTATATTCAACCATTACATAATGCATAATGTAGGGGCCATAATAACTAGAATAGAATTTTGGGGCCCATTATACTATGATTGTAATAAGGAGCCCCCAAACTAGTATAGGAAATTGTTAAGACCCCTATATGCCAGTCCTTTCTTCTCAAGTTGTCCGCTCAAGGCCTAGGGCATTAGAGGAGGCTTGGTACCTCCGTACCCTCAACCCGACCTTGCCGCCCTGGATGGCTTGATGACAGTGCCCGGTCAAGTCAAGGGCAGACTGAGGACTCAACCAAAGGAGCCATATCTTCCATCAAAGAGGTTCTTGCCCGCCGGCGTCATGTCCTCAGCCGGCGGATGGAATGCAGCTTCAGAAGTGGATAGAAGATAACCTCAAGTTATATTCAAAAGCTCCCTTAAACCGCTCAGACGGGGTCAAGCTCAGATACTGGTAGAATAGCTACACAGTTTGGTCGCCGTCTCAGGCTTGCTTTAGCCTTAAGCACCTCAGCCCCGTGGGCGTTTCAGAAAGCACAGGACCCAAAGACAGCAGCTGAACAAAATGCCGTACTATAGCGGCCTTAACAATTAGAAGAGGGTTTTGGGGTGTGTTATACTATATTTATACCTGATACCCTAGACACGTAGGTTGGTTCTGAACGTGGTCTGGTCGCCCAGCAGACAACCTAGAAGCCTGAAGAAACAAAAACCGTCATCTTTACAAGTCCTTCATAAACATTGCAGTATTCTATGGTGGTATGGCTCACCAGTTCTACCCAAGAATCCTGTCCTAATCAACGCAAACATTTTCTTAGAACAATCGGCTGAAGTCTACCGCACCTTTCATTTTCACGGTCGCTGCAGATTGCTAGCATTCCGACGGCGCGGATGGCTTGCCAAAAGGATAGCCTGTAGACATCTTTACGGTATGGGGCTTGAGGGGCTCAGGCGTAAGGATTCAGGGTTTAAGGCTTTGGGATTGGGGAGTTCAATACGGCTGCAGACAGGGTGTGAAGCTCGCATGTGCCTTTACAGCAAACATGTCCTCCTTCTTGACCTACCCACCTGTACATCGGTGTGGCTTTTATACCCTTCCAAAGATCAAACACACGTTTATCATTATGGCTACCACATATCATTATGCTACCTTACCTTCTGCATCATGAACATCTGCCCGCATGTGTGTATGCATATTTACAAAACGCATGCACTCTATTATCTGTTCGTCGCTAGTCCTAAGACAAGCTCCGAGAAGGATACCAGCCAGCTGCCGGTCCCTTGACAGACCCTGGCCACGTAATGTAGGAGCCTTAATAGTTACCTATAGTCTCCATTGTAGTTCCTTTTTTTGGTTTAACCAAATATATATATATATATATCTATATATATATAAATATATATATATATATATAGATGATTAGGATCCTATAAGGTAACCCCAAAAAGGAACTACAATGGAGACTATAGGTAGAGGAGATCAGGGTTCCTTGAGGTTCTTAGTAGCATGAGCCATATTCAGTTATTAAGGCCCCTACAGTATTCTTAACCAATGGGCTGGGACAGCCAGAAAACTGGTGTCGAAGGGGAGGTGTTCGGCAATTCGGTGAAAGAGTTTGGAGTCTAGAGTTTGAGGATCTGCTGAAGGTTGCCATTGCAATGATCCGTTGTTTTCATAAAGACTGCGTAGTCGACAGAACCATGTCTTAGAACATCCCCCCAAACGACGCAAAAAGAGTTCCGTGGAACCCACGACTTCGGCTTGATCGGCAAACGTGCAGTTGGCGCACGCATGAGGTGTGGGCAGGACTGGCATAAGCCATGACCTCCAAAAGAGCTGATAGCAAGAACTCAAACGTAACCTTACATCCATGAAACCCAGAGGGATTAGGGCCCTCTGACAGCAATTTGATTCTTAACCAAGAGTGAGGCTCATTGACGGCTAATCTAAGTTGTATTTCATAACTAGGAGTGGGCGCGTTGCGGCTGATCCTAACAGACATAAGCTGTATCTGTTTAGGGTAACGACAAGCCAGGACAACAACGTTGTCGATAATTGTTCAAAGAAAGCCTAGTCTGGGGTGGTATTTCTTTGGTCTTCATACCTCAGCTGTATGGCACTGTGGTAAGACTAACCCAGAAACCTTTTCTCGAGACTTGCCGCGCGTACTGAAATAGTTCAGACGTTTCTGCGACCTCATGAGCTCAGATGATGGTAGGCATCATGGCTTGCCGGAGCAGTGTGGCGGCCTGGAGACATCTGCTTTACGAAAATGAAAAGATTCTGCACAAGCCCAGGCCAAACGCACTTCAATGTCCACTAGTTCAGGGTCACAGAATAACGGTCTATGCCATAATTTTTGGACAATTATTGGTTAGGTGGTTTTGGGAGTCTCTAACAAATCCGCAAACAACCTCATCGCCACAGCTTGTAACATCCTTGCTCCTGTTTGAACCACCTGGCGACCTTTGTCTTCGTCAGGAAACAGCGATAAAACTAGCAGCAGCATCGAAGCAGCGGCCACAGCAGCAGCAGCAGCAGCAGCAGCAGCAATCGCAATTGTGGTCGGATGCAAACTGAGCACAACTGGTGGGATGCTGGGATTCCCACGGCGAAGATCAAACCCTGCTCGACCTCTATGTTGTAAGCAATTCCGATGGACCGACACATGTCAAACAATGAATCCGAGTGCAAGCCTGAGCAAAAGTCTTTTCTTTACGGAAGATATTGATGGCTCTTTGTAGGGGCTTGGCATTATTAATCCTCAAGGAAACATCTTTGAACTGGAGGTGCCAATTCAAGGGTTCTTCTTTTCAGCACCCTACTGTTTCGGGTTGATATGATACTAGTTACTAGGGTCTGCGATTCTCACGTTTGCTGAAACTCCCTTGCATGGCCAAGGCAAACGCGGCCTCTCCAGTAGCCCAGTGCATAGGTGCCCAGGCACATCATACACGCCACGACCACGCTTACAAGTGGACCTTGGCAGCAATCCACAGCCGACAGTTGTCCAAACATATCATCGACATGCCCTAACTAACTCTCAACTCCAACTATCCTTCTTCTTTTCCACAAACTGGTTTTCAATTGATATTGCCGCTGCTGCTTCCACAACAACAACAACAACTCCAATTCCTCCCTTGCTACCCGTGCTTACCAACTGCTCCCCTTGCAGTTCCAGGATTCTCCAACCATTCCCAAGGACGCCACCCCCCGAAGGGCTGGGAAGGCACGCTTAGGGTGTCGTGTTTCGGGTTTGGCATTATTTGTGGCCGAGATTACCTGTGCATTTTGACCGCCAGACCATGAAACTCATGAAACACCAAGCTGTTTAAACTTTAAACCAAACAGATTGGGGGGTTTCCGCTTAATTGCCATTTGGAAGGGTGAGGATACTTGCCGAGCACATGCCATCGCTTCCTGAGTTCCAAACTCTCGCTCGTAGCGGAAATGCTGGTTGCACCTTAGGTCTTCGGCTCTGACTGCACCCATGCACGGGGTTTTTCATGACTGTGGCTCCCTTGCAGCGGAAACTCTGCACTAGGCCTTACTCCCTGGTGAGTTTGCAAGGCTTAGGATTGAACGGCTCCTATGACTCCTACGTCAAATGAGCATGTTGGTAAGTTGCAACAATGCTAGTTAAAGGTTTGCGTCAGCCAAACTTTTTGCGTGCAAAGGTTGTATGCGGCTTAAACGATTTGATTGCTTCGCATGCCGTTTCATAGCACCTGGGTTTCGATGGGTTCGCAACCTCATGTTCGCAAGGTCTTGGGATGGTACATCGTATTCTGTAAAGGGTTTTTTCGGGGCCCCGAGACCAAGGGCTTTCGGGTTTACTGGGCTCGAAACCTCCTTTTGTATCTGTTTTTTAGCTGGAGGGTGCCTAGCATGGAACAGGGGCCACGTGAAACCCCTAGTCAAGGAAACAAGACCAAGACGCTTTGCATTAACTATAATTTTAATACAGCCCCCGCTGTCAAATCGCCAGGGCGATGTGCACGAGGCCCTTGCTTTCGGAGCTGCCGTAGCCACGAACCTCAATGAGGCACAGCCAATCAACATGCAAATCGAAATCCTGCCGAAAAAAAGCTGTGCAGGTTCACAAGCGCTCGTAAATTCGAACTGGACCTGCAGACACCTACCTTTCTAGGTAAATGTCGTGCGAAACAAAACTAGAAAAACAAAAGATGTGGATGATTTTGGCTGCCCGGTGGCTCCCCACTTGAGGACCGGAGCTAGGTTGCTCAGCTGGTCCTGGTATGCACAGACGTGGCTAGCAAAGTCCAAAGATGTTCAACGTGTATGATGTAAGGGCCTTAGATAGAATAGGGTGCAGGATCATTTCGACTCCCGTACTGGTATCACTAGTAGGGTCTTGGAGAAGAGGACTAAGGACTGACCTGGCCACGAGAGGTTTAAGACCTGGGAAACTTGGGGATGCTGATGCTCTAACCCCTACGGCCCTGCGGGCTGAGAAACGCAAGATGTCCGTGCTGATCTTGGTTTTTTGCCTCTCTCATACGGGGCTTAGGCTTTCGACTCACACGCTCGCACACCGCAGGCATGGATTCCAGCATTTGCAGACTGACGAGAGACAAAGCATGGAGAGCCATGAAGAAGTTCGCCACCAATCCAAACATGTCATAAAAACTCATGAAACACACCGAAACAAATCCCCAACCTAACAACTCATGAAGCTCTCCATGCGGACCAGCCGGCCCGGCATGAAGCCGTGCACAGCTACAACAGGGAGAGAAGCGCATATTCCTCCGACTCCAGCTTCCAATACAGCGCGGAAGGATTCACTGATTGACTTTTGTACTGACTACATGCAGAAGAATACACTTCACCCACTGCATTGCATTCACTGCATTCAAAATCTCGGCATTCAAGTCATGTTCTGCACCATTGCAAAGCGTCGAAGAATGCAAACACAGATCACCAGAGTGTACAGCCATGTTCAGTGCCACCAGACAGTGCCAGGCGAAAGTGTGTGCATCACTGACATGCAAGCTGCATAATGTCCGAGATCCAGCGGGAGTCTTGAATTCATGGATTCCTGAATACTTGAGTTCTCACACTCAACATCCCGATCTGCATCCATTTGTACTTCAGCTTAATCACAATCAGCTGCAAAGCCTGATCAAAGAGACCCGACCAACAAGCTGGCTTCCACCTGGTGCATTTCCTGGCATGCCGTGGTCTGTCAAACAGGAAGCCTGTCATGGCAGCCAGCCATGTAGTCACGAGGCAAACAGTCACAGAGCCCCAGCCCTCTCAGCACAGGAAATCTGTAGTCCAGAATCGAAGATGGCTTCCCAACACGAGGAGCTGCACAATATCGTTGACTAGTCCACCGCACCAGACCACATAGATATGACGATGACAACACGATGGCAGTATCAGCACCCGACAGAAAGATTGCCTCAAGCCTCTCTCGAAGCAGCCTCCGACGGACGCTGTTCTGTTGTGGAGACCCCGAGAGTGCTGAGTGTATGCATGACCTTGGTCACAAAGTCAGCCCTTGTGTCGGCAAGCTTCGCGGAGACCATGCGCGAGGGATGGCGCGGTCCCGGCACCAACCCCCAAGCACGAGCACCGAAGTAGGCTTTGTCCATGCCGTGATGGAGGATTGAAGCGTTAAAGCCACCAGGTATATGCCTGTCTGCCTGTCATCCGGATCTCCTCGAAGCAGCCTTTTTCCATGGCATTGCGTACTAATTCGGTCGCAATGTTTGCACTCTCGTGCCAAGGTCTGTCGCCGATCTCGCCAGGGTCGAAGAGTTCACGGTCCCCCCGGTCCAGGGTAGCCGGCCACTGTCCGCCGGCAGCTGGTCTTCAGGGATGGCCGAGAAGTCTCGAAGAGCATCGACCTCACCGGCACTAGCAAGGTTGCATTCACCCGCGCCTGACAAACAAAAAGGAACTTGGAGCATGACCGGAGGGTCGAAGACGTAGGTTATCGGATTCATCAGGCTGGTGGAGGGGGGGGCGGTGTGGGGTGGGAGTGAGTTGCTGAGAGCAAGGCAGCACAGCAACCACAAACATTGTGTCCAGGACCTCAGCTTGGATGCTTGGTGTCAGGGCCAACGAGGACAAAACACCAAGGGGCTTCAGCCCTGACATTGGCTCCGGTCAATACTGTCATACAGTCCCGTGAACCTGACTGTCATCAGACATTTATCAGGCCGAGGTCGTGTGCCGAAGTCGCCAACTCTCCTGCCGCACGCATGGCAAGTAAAGTGAAACATCTACTTAGCACCTCACTGACTCACTGGCGACAGCGGCTTGAACCAAAATGGCTACGTAGGGTGTAAGGTGTTGAAATCAGGATTTGTGGATCTATTGGCCGCGTCGGGGCTCGCTGCTTGTGATTAGCCCTTTCGGGGTAGTATGTTCCAGTCATAGAGGGGTTACACAGCAAGGAACAGCAACTCTGAACCAGCGTAGCCTACTTCTGTTCTACACAGTTCGTTCAGCAGACCGAGCAGAGGGACTGAAGGTGGTGATAAGAGTTTAATGCTTAGTGCGGGTTCCCATACTCAGGATGCTATCTTTATTGGCCCAACCACATCCCGCCTTGATCATCTGAGGGAGAAGTGACGGCGGCACCAGGGAGGGCAAAACCCAGTGAGGCCTGCTCACAGAAGAGCTTTAGGCAGGATTTGGGCTTATTTCGACGCTCACTCTATAGAACATGCTGGAACTACGCGGAATGCTCAGGACTGGCACAACCCGCAAGTCCACAAGGTGTCACAGGGGCCAAAAAAAGGTTCTCTTTCTGCAGCGTGCAGCTTCGCGAAGGTCAAAGTCTGCAACGGGAGGCCTGTAGAATTCCTGGTTGAAGCCAATCATCTCCAGCCAGAAGGCCGGATACCCAATGTCAGAGACCTGCACATGTCGCATGGGCCAGTCAGGTCAAAGGGCGTTTGTCGGCCCGGACTTTACTTCTCTCTTAGCAAACCCCAAACCGGGATTAAATACCCATATGGTCATATGGGGGTTTCCGAAAATTAGGGGTACCTTATTTTGGGATCTTTATAATAATAAGGATCCTACTATTTAGGGCATGGTATTCGGGTGTCCTATTTTCGGAAACTCTCCAAAATGTAACCCGAATGGACCTGAGATCAGGCAACCATGTTCCGGCCTGGTGAGGTGTTTCCGGAGGGTAGTTGTAGAACATGTCGTTGTATCTGACCTCGCGACCGTTTTTTCCCTCCTGCTTAGGAACGAGACGGTTTGGGGTTTAGGGAGTTAGAACATGTCGTTGTATCTGACCTCGCGCAAGGTTGCCGCACTGTCGGGTAGTGACAACCGGTCAAGAGTATTAACGCCATGTATGGGCAAGACGGACACAGTTTCCGCTGTTAGGCACAGATTGCCGTCATGTCAAGTGTTAACTACATGATACTTCAACTATTTGCAATCACAGTCACAATTCCGATTTGCAAGTGTGATCACCTTGCATTGCCGGTTTTTGGACGCTGTTGTGGTTGGTTCTGGGCGCTGCTGTTGCTTTTTCGTTATTGCCGACATCATTCATCTGTCGTCCTGTTGGGGGGGTGGAGGTAGTTGCCACTGTGTTGCTGCGGTTAGGATGATGGGCTGGTGGTAGATGTGCTGTGTTGAATGTATGATACGAATACCAGCTGCGAACGGCTGAATGGTCATCCTACACCTATGTCAACCTATCGTAATTTGTTGTTGCCGCCAGCAGGCGGATCGGACAAGTTCTTGTCCGACATCCTAGAACGTGGGCCCATGTTCGATCCGAGTGGCTACAAGCATGTCTGCCAAGGCCCACCATTCTTCGGTGATGTTGCGCTGCAGCTTGCCTCACAGTTTTTTGTCACCCCAAGAACCCCGCGGGAGACCCCAAACATTCCTCCAATCCCAAGCGTTGAAACTTACTTCCGGCTTAGGGTTGGTATCTGTTATCTGCTCGCTCGTGCTCGGAGCTTTACACGTGCTTATGCGCCCTCTCACAACCGTTTGTCTCTGCTTCTGCCGACTGCCTGAGAGGCTGCCCGCCTAGTCCCGACAACAGCTCAATTCTACGTCCCTTACCACTCCTAGAAACAGGTCATTAAAAAACAACACATGAAGCCGTGTCTCTCTGGTAATCCGCCAAATGCTTCGCGGCAGATTTGGCGTGCATCTTGTCCTGATGTTTAGGCGTTTGGAAACAGTGGTTTGGCCCCTGTTCTCGTGGCAAAGCAGAAGGGGCAGGGTTGTGCAAACAGAAGTGGGGCAGGGTGGGGATATTCGGGTCTGCCCCGACGGGTTGGTACATGTTTATGGCTGGCGAAGCAAAAAGCACAACTCCCGGTGCATACAAATAGGATTGTTCATTTAACTGTGCACATACATAATATGTACATGTATATGTACATGTCTATATGTATATACAGATACATTCACACATCTACATATAGTACAATACATAAACTACATAAGGGAGTAACAAAAATGAAAATAATGTCTCTCTCTAGATACGGGTAGTTGTCAAAATTATGGTCCCTTTTGGGGTACCCTAAATATTAGGTGCCGTATCATATTCAGGATCCAAAAAGGGACCATAACTCTGACAACCACCCATATATATATATATATATATATATATATATATATATATATATATATATATATAAACACTATGTGCTATAACACCTGGATGTTGATATGTATATAAATATCTTATATATACAAAGTTTTATCTAACCATATACACATGTGTACACAACTGCGCGCACCGGAAACTCTATGAGCCACCGAGATTTCTGAACAGTGAGACTCTCGGCTTAAGGAACATAACGGGTCGTGCGGAGTCTCCTGGATTGTGGCTTGTCTTTGGGCAAGGGTTAAGGAGACACGCCAGCTGTGAAACTAGTCGGAATGGCAGCAGATAAACTTCAACTCAAAAAGTGGAGCTCAAACTCTAAACTCTGAACGCATTTCTCTGCAGCATGAATGCTCAATAAGAGTTCAGATTTCGCTACCTCCTCTTATCCACGGGGCCGGGGGCTTTGTAGAAGCACTCATTGCTGCAATTGTGTGCAAACGGTTTGCAGAGCCTGGGTGGGGCTTCCCCCAATGTAGGGGCCTTAATTAGAATAGGGTTCTGGGGTCTACAATACTTTTCATAAGGAACCCCAAAAGTAGTATTGATACTTATGTAGGCCACTGTATTACTTCCTTTCTGAATCCCAAGATCTGCTCTGAAACAAAACCGGAGCAATCACAGGTCCGGCCACTCGTCGCGGCAGCAAGCCTGAACCCTGACGCCTACCTGAACCCCCCAAAGTAGGTAAAATAATGGCCCAATACCTCTAAAAGGCCATTATTCTGCATACTTTGGGGGTCCAGGTAAAGGAAAAACCAACCCGTGCACGCTGAACTCCCTAAGCCGTAACTGTAAGACAAGCACAGACCACATCCAAGGCGAGGAGCGGATTTCCGAAGCGCTTCTTCGGTTTCTTCTACGACGCGCAGCTGCGTGCTTTGCACCGCCGCGTAAACGTACTGCTCCTTTGCCAGGGCTTAGCGCTGTAGGAGTAAAGTTTAAGGTTCAGCGGGGTAGGTATTCTAGGGTCTAGGGAGCTAGAGGGGTTTCTGATCTTCTGATCAGCCTTTTTGATGTCGCTTCCACGGCGAGGTACATGTCAATGCATTGGGCTCGCAGTTTACGGGTCTGAGTTAAAGTAGAACATCGGGTGGTCGTCGAAACCCGTCTCAGGGTTCACAGCCGTCTCGATAGAAGAAGGGAGGCCGCCAATCTCCAAGCAAAGATATATGAAGCCCCAAGCCCTATAATCCTTCTAAACCCCAAATCCTGAACCTGAACCCTCCGTAGCCGGACGCGAGCTGTTCTGTGAGACAAGTAGAAAAGTCTGTTTTTCCTGGAATCTGTCTTGAGGGTTCCGTTAGGGCTTGTTGAAAGGTTGCTTTATAGGATCCTGTTGTGGTGCTATCAGGGTTAGTTTCGGGGACTCTGCGACACCCGATGACGAGTGAACAGATTGGGACACGCTTGTTCGGAACGTTCGTTCTGATGTACTCTGAATACGCACTCCGCATGGCACTTCGGGCGAATGTGCACCCGCAACTGAGCTACTCTGTAAGCAGCCCCGACCCAATACCCTTCATGCAAACATCAGTCTCTGAGGTTACGGAAAGCTTCAGACATGTTCTGGTAGGAGATCTCCATCCAGTTTGCCACAAAATCCTCGGATGGGACGATGTCCGAGCTGGAGAAAACAACGGTGCGAACGTGCAACACCTGTTTGCACACGTTTCTTTGCTGCCATGCTGCTACGGTAGCTGTGACATGGTCAGCTTTAGGAAAGCCTCCGCAATACAGGCGTGCTGCCACTAAATATGAGACGTTTGAGACATCCGTCGGTGCGTGTGGCCGTCTATGCCGAGTCCTGTCGGCAAGACTGTTCGCGTATGTGAACTCTGCCGCTCTGCACAACTTTGGCCTTGCTCATGCATGTTGACTCACTTGCAGAATCCTAATCCTGAGCCCTAAAGAGCCTAAAACTCAAAATGCTGAAAGCAACAACTAAGCCAAGGTTAAAACCTTAGAACCAGCACCGGACATGGCTTAGGGCTTTGCAATGTTGCGTACACGGTCTAGGCCACTGAACCATGCGTTCGGCCTTGAGAGTACGACTCGCGACCTGTAGAATTTCCCTAAACCTTGGGACCTCTCTTGAAAAAGCCGCCTCAGACCCATAAAGAAATCTTGCTTGAAATATCCGGTGGGTATACAATATGACATATGACAGTAACTGCACTTTGTTTCCTAAGAAAACTACAGCTACAAAGCAACTTGCCATTCGCCGAGACTCGAAAGCCCACCACGCCGGCCGTACCTTGTGAGCACAGATTTTCGAGTGTTGCAACGTCTTGGCGTTTCGGGCTTAAGGCTTTTGGTTTAGGGTTGAGCTTTCCGTTTCAAGTCTTGCTTTCAGCAAGAATCAACGTATGCATCAAGGATCAAGGGTGAAAGACAGCCTGGCTGGGACATGGGACGGTAGAAGCTTTAGGTTTCAATAGCGATGAGGGCTTTACCGCTGTAAGGTTTGCTCTGTAAAGATTTTTGGGGGATCCTTACAAGCGCCCTAAAGCCTTAAAGAGCCGAAACACACCCCAGGAGCCTCCAAGCTTAGGGTTTGAGTTTAGGGTTTAGGGGTTTCGGCGCTCACGCTCGGACAATCCAGGCGAGGCATATGGTTCGGAGGTCTGCTGCGTGAAACGGTTTAGGGGTTTAGTTTTTGAGGGTCTTGGGCCCCTTGGGGATCAGGCTTCTCTAAACCCTAAACCCTAAACCTTAAACCCTAAACCCTCTTGGGCCCCTTGGGCATCAGGCTACTGGGGTGTTCTTTGGGAGTCACAAGGCTCCAGGCGAAAGGAAGCTGGGGGTGGTTAGTTTTGAGGGCACCCATAGGCCCCAGAGTAGTTCCTTTCTGGGATTCATATTTAGAATCCTGTAAGGTAATTCCAAAAAAGGAACTACTATGGGGCCCATGGGTAGAGGGAGGATGGTTTAGGGTTTAATCATTTAGCGTTTACGCTCTTACAACTCGGGCTTGCCAGATGAGGTCACCGAGTGGTCGGGTTTAGGGTCTAGAGGTTGGGGGTTGAGGCGGTTACATCGCCAGGATCAGCCACAGAGATGTTAAAGCTTGCAAAGTGCAGGACATAGGGTTGAGGGCCAAGACCAACGGGTTAAGGACACGCTTACAGACCAAGCCTGTGAACAACAGCTCAAGCAACTGCAGAAGTTTCTGAATTCGGATGCCAGCAACTACACATGCAAACCACCAGCTGTTAAGCCACACAACACTACACACGTATCTACATGTATGTGTGCATGCATATGTAAATGATTGCATACGTACATACTGCAGACATGCACTATATGCATCCATGCAGGTGCGTGCGGACACTCGCAAAGACAACGTTTATGACCTGTCTAATTGCCCCATGTGTGTGCATGAGTTTGCTCGCTTTGCTCACGCTGTTTGTTTGTCCGTGTGCTCAACATGCAACTATCCTGGTGGAGCTTAAGCCCACGGGTACATGGCCACGGGAACCTCGAGGCTCCAGATCATGTGTGTAAAAACTTCAGAAATGTTGCGATCCCGTAGAAAGCCCTTCCTGTGCGATCCTCATTACCAAAAATGTACCCATGTACCACGACATCCCCACGTTTGAACCCTGTAATATGTACATATATAGGTCCTCCAAGCCCTGCCAGTCCCTATGAAGCCCTTAACCTGCAAGCAAGCCTTTATCGTCTCCCAAGAGGCAGTGTCGCGCTTCGAGAAGACGAATGATTTCTGGGAGCCGGTTCCATATGCTTCCACGTCGAACCTGACTTGAACTGTAGGACATACCGCAACCCCAATAACCTGCCTTCTTAAGGACACATATAAGAAAATCAGAACCCTAAACCCCTAAATGCCTTAGACCCTACCTTAACCCGAATAACCTACCTTTTTCAGGACTCATGCAAGGAAACCATGATAAAGAGGTTCCTTAGGGTCCATGTAGGGCTCAAGAACTGTATCAGGAAGTGTGGGGCCGAGGACTCGGACTTGAGAGGCTTATTTAGTACGGCACCTAATATCTAGGGCACCCGAAAAGGGACCATAATTTCGACAACCACCCTTATAGTGTTTGGAAGAACGGTTCTGAAGGCTCGCGGTTCTGGAACTTCGGTCGTGGGTGGATCTTGCTTGGATCTATAGGAAGCTGTTAGCGGTTTAGGGTTTAGGGTTTATATTGCTTTTGATCGTGGTGTTCAGGTCTGGGGCATAAGATATCGGAAATCGGAGATGAGGCTGCAGCCGACCCCGCAAGTTCTGAAGCGAACGAATCACGGCTACTTGTATCACACGGAGCCCATGCTTTGGGCCTTTGCGGAAGATGCACCTGACATGAGTCAACCGTGCGGCTGCCGCAAGATGACGCTCTGTGAAGACTTGAACGCGCATTCCAGATAGCGGTGCCGGCGGCATGCACTAGTTGCAGTCAACAAGACACCCTTTAGTGCGACGATCATACAGTGTTCGTGACCATGAATCTCCACACCCTCAAGCAACAAAGGCAAGAGCGCTCAAAGTCCTAAAGGGGCCGCAGATGTCACCAAGGTTTCCACTTTGAAGGCACAGGACACCGTAGAGATGGCTGAAAATTGACATGCCTTACCTACCAAAGTGGTGCAATGCTAGAATCAGTAGATGTCAGTAGACACTGCTGCCCTCACTTGCACTGATGGGGGAGGGTGGCGGTGCGGAGTACTCTATGCTACTATACTGCAGGAGTTTCGGAACTCGGGAACAACATCATGTACTACAGTTGGTGAGGCTCCCATGCTAGAGACGTACAGGATCAACATGACCTTAGAAGCCTTAGCCTCCTGCTGTATATCACTGCTTGTTTACCACCATCCTGCCATGCAAACCACCCTGGGGGGACTGAAGAGTGGATGACAAACGTGCCGCGGCGCTGGGTTCTCCAGAGCCTTCCCCTATCCCAACAGGTCTGAGGCGTGCAACCGTTCATGGCCTGCTTGACCGAAATTAGGCTTGTTATACTGATACTGGTTGAAGGAATTTGGATCTCTCAGGTGCCAGCTGGTCAGAGAAAAAGCCCACTCGTGAGCCCGCTCTGCTACGTAGTAACTCTCGTTTGTTGCTTTTTGCAGCTGGGCTTCCGGTGTCAGCCACTGACAAATCCGAAACCAGACTTGCAGGACCCGACACGAAGCCCTAAACTCTGAACCCCAAACCCTAGAAACCCTGAACCCTAAACCCTACACTAGCTAAGCCCTAAACCCTATAATTAAACCCCAAAGCCTAGAAAGCCTGAACCGTAAACCCTACACTACAAAATACAAAAACCCTAAACCCTGTAGCCTGAACCCCAAATGAAGGCCAGGAGCCGGCCATCCGCATCCGCCAGGACGGAGGAGAAGAACGGGACGAAGACGGAAGATGCCGAGCAGTCAGGGGCGAACCAGACCTTGAAGGGTTCAGGGCTGATAGGGTTTAAGGGGCTAGGGGCTTAGGGGTTTAGGGTTCAGGGGTTTAGGGTTTTAAGGGGCTACCTGGACCCCAAAAGCATGTAGAATAATAGCCTTTCAAAGGTATTGGGGCATTATTTTACCTACTTTGAGGGGTTTAGGTAGGGGCTAAGGGGGGTTTAGGGTTTACGCTCTCACAACTCGGACACAGCCAGGCGAGGTTCTTAGGTGCGAAGTCGGTGTGAAAAGAGGCTAAGATCGATCGGGTTTGGGCTTTTGGAGTTCAGGGCTTAATATAACTAGGAGGGCTTTCGAAGCCTTTGAAAAATACTAGTAAATAAGATCCTCTTAAGCCCAATAAGGGAAAATATAAAATGTCCCAAAGCCCTACCTAGATAAAGGTCTTAAACAGTTAGAGCAGGGTTTTATGGGAGGGACTAGGGGCTCAAATGGTTGAGGGTTTAACGGGCGTGGGGTCCAGGGCGTAGGGCTTATGGCTTAGGGTTTAGGGGTTTAGGGTTTAGGGGTTATGGCTTAGGGTTTCAGGGAATAGGGGTTTAGGGCTGCAGAGGTGGAAGGGCGTGGGTTGCTTTCGTGGGGCTGCGGAGTCACCGGTTGCCAGGCAGTTCACGACATAAACTAGAAACAGTCTACAGAGTCTGGTGTACCTGACGAGCCCAGACCACAAATGAAGCTCAAATCACACAGTCCACCTCATCCAGAAACGTGAAGATCTACTGAGTCCCAGGCCAAAACAGAGTGAAGAACCCCCATTTTGTGACGGGTAAACATTTTGATAAAGCCATCTGCCCGCAGCAATGATAAAGCTCCTGAGGCTTCTGACGACACATGGAGCCCTTCCATTACAGTGCATTCATCCTCCTCATCACTACGAAAAGCATATTGTGCATCTTCACATTCCTCTCATCGGCGTCACCGTCATCAGCAGCTGCTGGCGGGTATACATATGCACACCTAGCTGCCCGCGGCTGGTGAATGGGACCGGACTGCACAATCTGTGTGTAGGAGGTGCGCGGAATGGAGGTGGACCGGGCGAACTGTCCGGGAACCTGGGCGGCAAGTGCATGTGTTTACATAGCTGAAAGCAACACCCAGAAACGAAGAAATGAAAAGCTAAACAACGATCTGAACAACTGAAGATTTGCATAGTATGTCAGACACATTTATATACACACGTGTACACACTCTTATCTTCATATGCACCGATATGTTAGGCTATACACGCGCAAACATATGAAGTGTATGCTGGCATGTTGCGAGACGGCTGCAAGTATGATCACCTGCACTGGAGTTCTTGTTGCGCCGTTCATCATGATACCAGTCATAGTTGCTCGCACATTGCACTATCCAGACGGCTCCCAGTGTTGCCTGATCTTGGCGATGCTGCTTCCCATCGGAAGTGATGTCGTTCCACCCGAAGAATATTGAAGCAGTACCCTTGAAACTGAAGGATCGTGGCTCTCAGGGTTCTGTTGCAGCTTGGGCGATGAGACTTAGAAATGCCCACCATGCACAGCCCATAATCCTAGAGATTACTTCTAACAACCGCCCCGCCACCAAGTAGACATGACAAGCCCTAAAGCTGCGACTTGTCAGGCAAAAAAGCTGCGAACACAAAACATGGTCTGCGACCCCTTCTCGTATGCCTTCAGTGTACTAAACATGTGCTGACAAAACAGCATAGTGTGACAACCATTCAAAATGGCTATGCACACAACGCCAAAACAATATGAGTGTTTCTCGTTGACACCCTTCACTCCCGCGCAGGATCGCACGCGAGTTTGTCTGTGTGTGTGTGTGTGTGTGTGCGTGCGCCTGCATGCTTCACCTTAATGTGGAAACAGACATTTATCTCCACTCAATAGGAATGCGACATTAAAGGAGTCTTAGGTATGTCTTACATACCTATGCTCTCACAATCCTGCCACTGTAAGCATTGCAGAATTTTCGCGAAACCACTCAAACCGATGCTATCTCTGCCGCTACTCAAGACACATTTTAGAAGGTTTGGGCAGGCGCGCAACGGATTGAGTCCGACTGGTTGCTGCTACGTGATCATATTTCGCGATTGGCTTTCGCGATTGGCTTGGCTAACTCGAAATGGATGGCATCATCAAATCCGTAATCCTTTAAAAACCTCAAACCCCAACCAAATAAACCTGCATAGGAGCTTTCGAAAATAGGGGGACCCTAATAAAGTACCTTAAACAGTTTGATCCTTCTCTTAAGAGGACCCCAAAATGAGGTACAGCTAATTTTCGGAAACTCCCGTCAAACCTTAACCCATCCGTCAAGCCACCGATCGCGCGCCGATGCCCCCCTCGGCACGGTTGGGAGACTGCCAGGGGCCGGCCAAGCTGCCATAGCGCATGTCGAACCTGGGCTTCAGGGTTCTAGGTAGGGCAGCTAGTGTACCCATAGGCCCCATGGCAGTTCCTTTTTGCGGTTAATATTTAGAAGTCTCTTAGATAATCCCAAAGAGGAACTACTATGGGGCCTATAGGTATAGGGTTTAGGGCGCATGTCGAACCTGGGTTTCAGGGTTGAGTGGTTTAAGGGTTCAGGGTTGAAGGGCTTTGGGCTTAAAGGGCTTATAATAAGGGTTTCGTGTAGGCTTTATAGAGGTTTTAGAGCGTCAGGGTTTCAGGGTTTGCCGGATTATTAACGGCTTCACTTCAAGGGCTCAGGGTTTTGCTGCCCCGGGCTGATGGGCTTAGGACGACTTCCCGCAACTCGAAGTCCGATATTTCAAGACGATACCACATGGGTGGTTATCAAAATTATGATCCCTTTTTGGGTCCCTAATGTAGTACGGCACCTAATATTTAGGGTACCCAAAAAGGGACCCTGATTTTGACAACTACCCACATGAAAAGCACGATGCCAGGAACCCCCGTTGGAGAACTACGCAAGCGTCGGGGTAAAAGGACTTTGAGTTTGGCGTTTTGGTTGACGGTATGGCAAGGTTTTTGGGTGTTAGAGTTTGGGTTTTTGGACCTGTTACACTGTTCATGACTGAGGGACCATCAGTCTGGGTTGAAATGATTTGAGATTGCCTTCGGCCGAGGCTTCGTTACCTACTACCCTTTGTGCCTGATCTTGCGGTGGTGCCTGTATGGGGTTTCCGAAAATAGGGGACCCTAATCTAGAAATGAAAGCTAAGAAGCAGGATCCTAATTATAAGGGCCCCAAGATAAGGTACCCCCTAATTTTCAGAAACTCCATAGCACAGACAAGATTTGCTCTCAAATGAAGACCGGGAGCTCTGTGCCCTCATAGTGCGTCCGGAACCAGTTCATGACATCCTCAACGGAGCTTCCAGGCAGCGAGCTTCTGATGTCATGCGCTGCTGTACTGTGCCCATACACGTGCAGTGACCGACTGCATTAAGTAACGGCAGCTGCCGGGGGGCTGACGGTATCGGGCTACGAGGGATTTCGACTAACGCTGGCACTGGGAGGACAACACAGTGAGAGCTGACTACGGTCTTGGGGCTGCAGGTTTGCCTAAACCCCGAAAAGTAGGTAAAATAAGGGCCCAAGACCTTTAAAAGGCTATTATTCTACATACTTTTGCTGTCCAGGTCCAGGTAGAGGCTTTCAACGCATGCCGGGCTTTAGGGTTTCCGGTAATTACATGTCATTAAGAAAGACAGTGGTCAGTCGAGCTCCACTGAAAAGAACAGCCCGAAGCGTAGTAACCTGTCATGCGGGAGTTTAAGCGAAAAGGCCACCAGTCCAAATCCTAAACACTGGGACCCTTCCCAACGACACCCCTGGATGAGGGATCCGTGGCTATATAGGAGTAGCTGGACTCCCAGCGAAACTTCGTAAAACCTAAACCCCCACCTGAACCCCGAAGAACCTACATTTTCAAGGACTTATATAAGAAATCATAATAAGGAACCCTTAAAAGTGGGATATTCAGGGTTAATGTAGAGCCTAAAGACTTAAACTTTACCTCTTAGATCTCCAGAACCCTTAACCCTTACAGACTACCTGTAGCCGAAAAGACCTGCCTATTTTAGGATTCCTTATTACTTATTATGGTTTCTATATATAGTTCCTTAAAAAGGTAGGTCTTTTGGGCCACAGGTGGGGTTTGTAAGATTTTGGGGTGGCTTCGGGTCTAGGGAAGCTCGGATGGCCTGAACCGTCGCTTTGCCCTCTACCGGCACGGAGAAGGGAAAGCTTCCCCTCAGCAGTGCAGCTCGAGGCAACCCGAAACCCTTGCAGCTTTTGGTGGTGTAGCATTGAATTTTAGGGTTTAGGGGTTCAAGGGCTTTGAGAGGGCCATTGGTTGAAAGCGATTTGTCTCCATGGTGTCCCGGACACGTGTCCTGCTCTTCAGGGTCCAGGAAGGCTATGTTAGACGACTCGGCTGCACATATATCTACATATATATATATATACATATATACATATATACATATATATATATATATATATACATATATATATACACACAAACACCGGCCGGATTTGCCTTTGAAGGATTCTTGGAGCGGACGGAGTGTAGGATGAATGAAACAGTCAACAAAACTAAGCGCTCTTAGTCTTGATAGCAGTTGTCTTGGAGTGATCGGCATTTGGATTCCAAGAAAGGGAACACCCCTGTCCTACTCAATCACTATTCTAATACTACTGACCAGGACACAAAACCCCACACACCCTTCTAAAGAACTTATCCCCCTCCCCCTCTACACAGCCCCCACACCCGACCCCAAGACAGGTCACCGTAAAGTGGTTGTGGGGGGGGGGGGTCCCACAAATCCCGGCACCCAAAGTCGAAATCCACGCTCTTACAGTGCAAAGCTGCAAACAGCTCAGCCGAAAATCTGCACAACAAATAGCCGCCCCCTCACTTGAAGCCTCGCTAGCTCGAAACTTGGGAATGCCCAAACCCGAAGCCCTGAGCTCTGAACCCCAAGACACTTTTCTGCCAAACTAGTACCCTCAGTAAGGATTTTAAGGTACAAGCACTCTCCCTTTAAAAAGGAACCGTATGGAACGCCTTAGAGAAACCCTAGAAGGAGCCCTAAAGGAACCTGCGGTAGCCGGATCACCCCTTTAAAGGAGCCCTTTAAAGGAACCTCAGACTGCCCCTTTAGAGTAACCCTTAAACGATCCTGTTAAGGGAAATCTACTATGGCCTCAAAGGAACCCTTCCCTAAACCCTAAACCCTGAAGAACCTACCTTTTTGAGTACTTATATAAAGAAATCATATTAAGGACCCCTAAAAAGGTAGATTCCTTAGGGTCCAAGTAAACCCTGAAAACCTAAAGGAAGCCGAGCGTCAAGTCCGGTGTGGCTTGGAGACCAGAGTTCGGCGCTGCTTGGCGGTACACACCCCACATACCTGAAGTAAGTTTGGACTAGGGTTTAGGGTCTAGGGGTGGACGGCCATTAGGTAGGGTGTAGGATTCAAGGCTTTAGGGTCTGGTTTCGGGTTTAGGATTTCGGGTTTGGGTTTCGACTCGCACACTCGCAGGACGCGGACACGGCTGAGGTTTGGGTTGAGGGTTATGGGTTTAGGATTTTGGGCGGGCACTCGATCAAGGCGGGCACGGATCACTCGACCCTAGACGTGGGAGAGTGATCCTCAACTCGAGCTAAGATCAAGGCTTTGGGCTTATAGGGGTGCGGGATTTCAGTGTACACCGTCTTTTTCGGCGGGAGAGTCAGGTCTTGCTATGAATGCTCTTGTTGAACTTTTGGCTTGAAAACGAAAACTCTTAAGGTTTTCCTACATGCCGTGAGGAGCCACGATCTGGTGACTTCTGGTGTTAAAGCTCGCAGGACTTCGGTACGAAGTGTGCCGGCTGCATGACTCAAAGGGATCCAGAGGTGGGATGAGCCTAGGTGGGGCAAGCCCTAACCCTTATATCTCTAAGGACTCATATTTTCAGGCTTTTCGGCCTAAAGACCATATTACACAGGGGTTTGGGCCGTTTTGGGTAATAATTGTGGGGTTTCGGAGAGGCAGCCAGTCGGGGCCTAGGATTTAGATTGGCTCCGCATGAGGCGCTATAAGCAATGATCCTTTCTATGAGTGCCAATCACCGGATCTCAAACACTGACCTCGTTTGGGGTTTACAGCGCCAGCTCCCCAACTTCCAACGCCCCTGGGCCCAAAGTTGTTTAGACTTGAGCTGCTGCTTGGGTCGGGGGCCCGATCCTCTACACCCGGTAGCGAAGCCGGGCTGCACGGCATGCAAGCCTTGAACATTCTCTCTTTACGCGCACACATACACACATGTCTGTTACAAACGCAAAGGACCGGACGCCCACCCCACCCAGAAGGCTTCCTGCTGACAAAGACACCCATAAGCCCTGAACATCGTAGATTCAATGATCACCCGAGCGGCGCAGGGTCGAGTACATCGGGATGGGCGCGAGCCCCGGGAAGTAACCTCACGCCGAAACTCGTGAGCTCTAAGCCCCAGCCCCCTACCTCAGCACTCCTACGTCGATGGACCTCCGAGTAGCTTTCGTAAGGACGCCGGACGGCAGAGGAACCCTCAACAGCGGAAGCAAACCTGAACTCTCAGTCTCAGACACTTCTCTCTCTCTCTCTCTCTCTCTCTCTCTCTCTCTCTCTCTCTCTCTCTCTCTCTCTCTCTCTCTCTCTCTCTCTCTCTCTTAGACCCTAAAACCGGAAGCCACATAAATCCCCTCAGCCCAAAATACCATGCAAATCCTTATTTCCCAAAGACTCCACGATCCCTTGATTAAGGAATATACCTTAAATCATATTAGGGATCCCCCTGTAATTTAAGGTATGGATATTGGAGTCTCTGGGTTCCCAGATGCCGACGGAACCCTGGATCCTGAAAGCTCTGTAGATCCCGACTGAACCATAAGTCCAAAGCGTAACATACCTTGAACACACAGATTCACCCACCCTCTCTCAGTCTCTCTCCCAGGAATTCGGTACGTCAAGCAGATTCATCCAGCTTAAACCACAGAACCTTGACATTCTAAATCTGGAACCTACAACCTGAATCCCTAAACCCCCCATACATACCAGGACCCGGGTTCAGATCCGTAGCTAAAGGTGGCCAAGTCGGGTTGGACGATGTGCTGCCAATCCAGTGGCCCAAAGCCATCCCACAGTCCCGACTCCTGGAGATCTTTGCGGATGGAAGGTGCAACCCAGAGACTTCCAATATCCCTTAAGTAAGGAATATGCCTTAAATCATATTAAGGATCCTACTATATTTTAAGGTATATTCCTTAATTAAGGGATATTGGAGTCTATGAGGTGTAGGGTTTGTTACAACGTCTTTCGTCGCTTTCTTTTGCAAGGATGTGGGGACGACAGGCTTGGAAGGGTGCAAGGGTTCGGGAATGAGGTTCCTGTTGGGTGTTAGGGCGGTTTTTAATGTAAACCAACCCCAAGCCGCAATCTCGAAAATCCAAAAACCCCAAATACTAAACCCTGAACCTCAAACCCGCATGCTCCATCCCGCACACAAGGACCTGGAAGGAGGAACCCCGCGATACACCTGGTATACACCTCTATACTTACTAGCAACAACAGTTTTCTCAGGGAAGTTCTAACCACCCAAAACCGCAACCCACTGAATCCTGATACAGGGACCATACATAATTTGACTCGGGTTTTCGGGGCATGTTGAACTTTACAAAAGAGTAAGGAAGCCGAGGGAATCATATCGGTGATTGTTCCGACTTGTGCACTACACTCTCCCTGCCCTCGCCTTGAGTAGGTCCACGATTCCAGGGTGCGCCATGAAGTTCTCTTTGTCCTTCAAGTCCACTGTGCGGATGATCATGCCTCAAGGTCCGGTGTGCAGTGTTGATGTTTAAGGTTTGGCTTCGGGGTTCATGTTTCGAGAATGCAAACCCAGAAGAATACGATCTTCATTACGAGGCAGTGCATTGCGCAAGCTCTGGGATCCTGCGAAGCATAAAGTTGAGCCTTGCCCGTTAAAGTCGTGATGTGCTTGCTGCACAAGTACGTACTGGCAACAACACAGACATCAGCATAACCACCATCAGCACCAACACTATCATCATTAGATGTTCATCATCATCATCATCACCATCATCAAAATCATCATCACCCCACCATCATCAACATCATCACCAACCACATCATTGTCAACAAAATGACAATCAACGTGCATTCATCATCAGCATAGTAATCACCGCCACCATCATCAGCGTCGACATCACAAACACGAGCAGCAATATGATATAACCGCCACCAGCATCACAGTCACTGCATCTTGGATATAGAAACGGAAGCATCCTCACCTTAACTTGCCAGATCACACCATATGCCATACGCCATCACGGCAAATCCTCTGCCAGCATCCTCTCTCCTCCTCCCTCGCGATTAGCTGACCCGACCAGTGGACAAAACACATCCTCTCCCCCTACTCGCAATAAAGGAGTCAAGAAGTAATGCACAAAGCGAAGCGCGTGGACAAAACATGACAAAACACATCTGGATGTCAGCTAATTACTGTGACACGGGCTGATCCATGCTGCCCGGGCTTCTGTTGGCAATGACGGCGACATGGCCACTGGGCACGCGCTGGGCAACCCAGAGCGCACCACGTTGTCCCGCCCAGGGTGCCGAGGTCGCGTTGTTGGGAACTCCACCTGAGATATGGCACGAAATACCTGATGCGATACGAAAAGAAAAAAGACCGAGAAGCTGTTTCCTTAAAACTTGAGATGCCTTAATTAGTAGTTGCAGTTGTCCAGGCGGGGCTGTTGCTGGCACTCTTTCGCTCTGCGACACCTCTGCAGACCTTTCGGAAGCCTGATCCCTGAACCATTGACTCTAAATTCGCCGTTTGCATGGTGAGTGCCAGATGTGTCAAGTGTGCGGAATTTTACAGTGACTGCACATGCGAGCACGAGCAAGCCAGTTATATTCGGTTCAGCGTTTAGACTGTTTCCCAATCCCCGACAACATCGCTCTGCCTGTGCTTTCACAACAAACGCTCCTATACTTCTGTCTATATGAGGGCCTTAGGGAATCCCAAATCCTCGCCCGCAAATCCCAAACCCTCAGCCCAAAGTGCGAACTCAAAACCCTCAACCCTACTGACAACCTACACCCTCTTTTCCGCGGATCTCCATACCTAGACCCCAAGAGTAGGTAAAGTAATGGCCCAAAACCTACAAAAGGCTATTATTCTACACACTTCGGGGGTCCAGGTACTGCCACAACGGCATCCCCAGACCGTTTGTAAATCGTGAGTCCCAGCAAAACCCCTCAACAGACATCTTATAGAGTCCGGCAAACCGCTTATTGAAAACCTATACAACCCTAAATCCTACAAACCCTATAAGCCCCAAAAGCCCTAGAAACGCTATAAGCCCTATAAACCCCATGAGCCCAAACAAAAACCTGATAGACCCTATACATATAAACCCTAAACCCTGCGTGCAGCAGAAGGCTCCGCAGATGTGGAAAACCCAAGCCTCACCGGTTCGATCCACCAGGGTCACGGCCTGCGGAACCCCAGACTTTCGGGAGGATCCAGAAAGTAGATCCCTAGGAATGGGGGGTTCTTTTTTAAGGGTTCCTTTAAGGTTCCAGAGATCTATAGGGTTTTAGGGTTTAGGGTAGACCCCTTAATGGGGGTTCCTATATAAAGTACCCTTAGTAGTATAGGGCCCCAAATCACAGGATCTACTTTCTAGATCCTCCCGGGGGTCTGGGACCCTGGCAGCCCAGTTGCCTAGAGGGCCTTTTCCCTCCTACCTGTACCTGGAGGGTTTCGGCCCAAGGGTTTGGGTTCTTTGATGCGCCGGGTCCAGGGATGTCTTGGGTTCAGGGTTGAGGGTTAAGGTTTTTTTTTTTTTACGTGCAATGGCTCTTTTAAGGGTCTTTTGATGTTTAGAGTGTGGGGATGTCTACTAGGGTTTAGGGTTTTAGAGCCACGGTGCGAGGCTGACAGTTGCTGGGGTTGGGCTTTCCTACTCTTCGGTTTAGTAAGGGGACCCTGAAAAAAAGTGCAAACGAGTACTACTCAGGAAGCTAGCACACCCTAAACCCCCAGAGATCCCTTGTAGAACCCTTTATGGATCCCTTATAGAACTCTCTAAGGCTCCCTTATGGAACTCTTTAAGGAACCTAGTTGGAGCGACATTTCCAAGCAGGCCTCTGCAACTAACGGCACGCCCCATGCTACCTTAGGTACTGCCCCGTTACACGAAGAGTCCATGAGAGCTCTACTATTAAGGTCCTAATATACCTATAAACCCTAAACCCTAAACCCTAAACCCTGAACCCTAAACCCTAAACCCTAAACCCTAAACCCTGAACCCTAAACCCTGAACCCTAAACCCTATATTATGGATATTACTCAACTCTTACTGAGTGGGGGGCCGTACCCAAATGCTACCCCAGGAAGAGGAGTCGCAGGTTCCCAGCCTTTAGCTCGTCTCATAGAGGGGCCTTAATTAATAAGGTTGTTTTAAAGGGGTCTATAAGGGCTACTATAAGGGATCTTAATAATTAGAATAAGGCTCCTTTATAAAAGGGTCTATAAGGGCTACTATAAGGGATCTATATAAGCGTACTATAATGTAGCGGTCTTAACAGTTAGAATACGGTTTGCAGGTATATGGCAAGCATCATAAAGAACTCCGTTCTAATTATTAAAGCCCGTACATTACGCTTAGGGACTTCATGTTTCGGTCATGAGCATGTCACGACTTGGCGTTCACGATTTGAGGTGACAATGGCTACATCTTCAACGCCACGCGACATTCAGACATACACGCGGTTCAACACCAGGATAAGGGCTGTAGTGGTCCAGGAGGTTCGGGTTCAGCCCTAAAGCCAAAACTTTTTGGAGCGTAGCGATCACGGTAAATACTCGGATCGTGACATGAGTCACACATTGGTCGAAGCTCGATCTCCGATCGAGCTTGTGCCTTCACCGCTGTGGTGCTTTGAGGCCTGTACAGCTGTGAACAACTGCTTATAAGCAGAACGAATGATTCAAACTGAAGTGTTACAAAATCAGAGCCATGTGGCAAGATTGGTGGCTGATGGTCCATCACCACTCTTGCAGACAAGCCACTGCCAACCAAATATGGACCGCACATGCATAGGTCCATGTGGGAATGAGCCACGCAAAGCAGGCGATTTGCCGTATTAAGATCTGATTTTTAACCTACTGAACCCCGCCTGCTACTCCCACTGCCTCTGGCTCATTTGTGATCCGACCCTCCAAGAGAAAAGGAAGCGGGTCAGTCTGCCTCAAACGGTCTATACACCTGTCGAGACGAATCACGCTTTCTTGGCGTCCCATTTCCCTTCCTTCTTCATCCTGGGCTGGCCCTTATAAGAAATCAACAGTATGCATAATTAAAACTCATCTCAGACTCGACGCAAAATGAGCTAATTAAGGGGACTTACAAAAAAAAGTCCTTCTGGCCTACCAAGCATCGTCTCCACCATCCACTGAACAACTTCAAGCCCGGCTGCGGAGGCCGCCGGTGCATCGCGCTCGCAAAGCCTTGTCCTCTGCTCTAGGGACACGTCACCTGACAGCTTGGGTTTCGGGCTTAAGGTTTCGGATTTAGGGTTTAGGGTTTCACAGAGTGCGGAACCGCTTCTGTACAGCTCTTCGGGGTCCTTACGACTTCGTGAGGGACGCAAGTATGAAACGAGATGAAAGTTTGACATAACATAACGGAACATGTTTCAACAAATGTACTTCATAACATAGTCTATCAGTATACTATGAATATACTGAACTTTCAGAAACCCCCGCCTAGGACCAGGCCGTCGGACTTGACGATGGCATTCTTTCCTGGCATGGCGCGCATCCCAATCTTCACCTGGGTTCTTGACACTCACACTCGGACAAAGCCTGGCAAGGTCTGTAGCAATCCTGGTCACTCGTTTAGGGTTTAGGAGTTGAGGGTTTAGGGGTTAAGGTTGAGAGTTCAGAGCTTAGGGCTTTGGGTTTAGGGGAGTTGCTGAGGATCTCTTGATTCGAGTTGCTCTAGTCGGGAAAATGTGCTGCTAAGTCTATGCTGCTTTCCCTACTACGGCTACTACGGCCTTATTGTCATTTACGTAAATGAACTTCCATGACCAAAGCCCCGTCACTGTCTTCTGGAGCATCCATCCATGGTACTGCATGAGGGTTTGCTTGTAGGCCTCCACACCGGCGTTGCCGGCTGCCTGGGTGAACATGAGCGTGATCATGGTCAGGAAGAACTGGACACCCCTGAGGAGCCAGGTCACACCGACGACCGAGGAGGATTTCAGATAGCCGGAGAAGGTGCCTCTCTCTTCTGGGGCCTGCTCATACACCCCCTGGGCCTTCTTCAGGTTGCTCTCAATGTCACTGAGAACGAAACCGGCTGCTGAGCCAAGCTTAGAGAGCATGTCGCTGTAGAGCTCACAAGCCTCGAAGAACTTCGCCATGTCGATGTTCGTTAGCTTGCCTGACGTGTCCCGCATTTCGCAAGCTTTAAACTTATCCATCAGGAGCCCGAACCTGGTTTCGTGCACCAGGTGCATGGGATTCACTGCCGGACGTGGAGCTTCAGCTGTTTCATCTCGTGATGCAGCATCGACTTCCAGCATCGCGGCAGCGATTTGCGGCGAAGGGGATGCAGTGCTCTCGGCTTCCACGGACATAACCGGAGACTGCGTCGAGGTTTCTTCGGCGGCATCGTCCTTGGCCTTCGGCAGAGATGGAACGACGACCTCCGCGGCAGTGGGTACCTGAGTTGCCTGGCAGTTGCCCATGCTGAGCAAAGGTGCACAAGACCTCACTGCTAGGGGTCGGGCTGCAGTCTTGAGCCGCCTCTGATGTGGGAGTTTCCGAAAATTAGGGGTACCTTATTTTGGGCTCTTTATAGTAAGGATCCTACCATTTAGGGTACGATAGTAGCATGTAAGGATTTCCCAGATTCCCTACACTCGGTAAGGGTTCGAAGCCATCCTTTTTCCCTGAGAGCCACTCAAACCGAAAACCACTGAATGCAAGGTCCTGTTTGGCCTGCTTCTGCAGTCTGTCTGTCTCCTTCTTACACTCCCTGGTGGTTGGTCGGGGATGGGGGGATGGATCCCTACAGTAGTCCCAATATTATCCTCATTAATAGTCCCCATAACCCATTCCCCCATTCCCTACTAAGCACCAGACAGTACAAGTGCATAACCCCACACCTGGACTTGATGGATGCCCCAAGTCGAGCAGGGACCTGCTGGGTAGTCAGGCATTTCTCGAAAAAAGTCCTTCTTAGGCTTCTTCTTAAAACAATACCCATAAGCCCCATAGTAGTTCCTTTTTTGGGGTTCATATTTAGAATCCTGAAAAATAACCCCAAACAGGAACTACGCTATGTGGCCTCTGGATACTCTCCCGGACGAATGCAAACAGGGACCCTTATTCGCAGAAAACCGGGGAAGGTGCATGCAGGGGATCGAACCTCGCCAGCACCGCCATAGCCGGGATCCTCCCCATAGAAGCCGTACTTGGCACCAAGATCACCCATAGTCTGGATCCTAAGTCTCACGAATGCGGGAGAGAGAAGCTCGAAACGGCCCTTTTGCAGCAGGCGTCTCTCGACTGTCGCGCGAAGCAATGCCCTAACCTTGATCCCACCATAAACCAAGATTCCCAAACCTGAACCGCTGAGCCCTACACCTACACTCGAAGTTGGGCGCAGGTTCTAGCGCAGGGGGTTTCGTGCCGGTTTCTCACTCGATGGTCTCCACTGCGATAAGTGAGGTTGCCCAGGGATTTCGACAAGCTCCTTCTCGGTTCAGTCACCTATAGGTTTGTGATTAAGTAGCAAAGTGGCGAGCTTTAACAGCAGAACTAGCGCTACAGCGGAAATCCCAACCCAAAACCCAAAACCCCACACGCAGAAACTAGGCGCCACAAAGGGTCGCACAGCGCGCAGTCTTGCAGCGCTCCAGGGCGATGGCCATGAGATTCCCAATGCTGAAAAGGGCAGTTCCGCCATCGGACACTCCTCTTCGGCAATGCTGTTTTATATTGAGGGTTCAGGTTTTGTTTTGTTTCAGGGTCTAGGGTTCAGGGTTCAGGGGTTAAGGGTCTATCTGAACCTTATCAAATGTGCCTTTGGGCCGCCTTTGGGGTATTTTTTGAGACGTGACCCACAAAATCAACGGTCATAAACCTGAACAGGTATTGCCGGTATTGCTTGTGTAGGGCCCAGGAATGGTTTGGATGTTCAGTTTACACCATCCTAACCTCATGAGTGTGTACATTTTTTCAAGTAAGCCTACTGCATCGACACCACATGGCCCAAACTTACAGTGATTGTCGCTTGAAACAGTGTCGCCATACAGGTGCACGTAGCAATGAAACTCCTACGCCGCCTCAGTCGGGAAATGTAGCAGCCTGTTCACGGTCCACATGTCCAGATACATATGCCCATATCTGTATGTATATATATGTACATATACCTAAGTATATAGTTGTCCGTGAAATCCTCAATGCTCAATGTTCGAAGCACGGAACTTTGGATTTTGCATGTTTTGTTTGAACTTGTTTGGTGGTTTCTGCATCTAGAGAGTAGTACGGCTTCCGCTTATGGGATGCCGTTGCCCATACTGCGCAAGCCCAAGAAATTCACCTTGAGAATGCCCCCTACACCCCAGTCCCTCAACCACCCAGCCTTTCCCAACCAAGAAGGCCGGGCATGTGGACTCGCCCAGTCCTGTCTTAGTTTTCGGCCTACATATATAAGGTTTGAGGCTTTGCTGTTCGCTTTGCGAAAAGGCTCCAGGGTGCCTTTACAGGTAAACGGTTAGACGGCCTAATGGGCTTTATTGCAGCCTTGTTTCCGTTTCAGATTCGCCGGACATCGGAGGGCCACCACTATACGATTGTGCAATGTGCTTTCTCTCAAGTCAGCTGGAGTTAGAAGAATCTCGATCTGCCGGCATGCCTCCCAATGCAGTTTAGGCTGGGCTTCGTAACAATCTACAGACCATCACGGCTGATCTTCATTCAAGTTCTACCGTTGTGTGGCTTGTTGCTGTCATCCCTAGTAGCCCTGGTACTATCACAATCCTGTTGCCCTGGATCCCCCTGTGCTAGGAGATGTCGTTGTTTGCTCAGAAAGCCAACAATCGCAACTCCGAAACCGGGCTTGTCGGGTTTTTTGTTTAAAGTTTACAGTTAGGTGTGGGGTTAAGTTTGAGTGTAGGGTAGTGAATGAATCTACTTAGGTTGGCCAGTAGACGTTCAAACAAAGTGCCCTTGGTTGCGGTTGCTCCTCACCTCCAAGAGGCAGAACCCACACACAGAAAGGGATAAGACTGTTCGGGACCCGAGCCCTTCACCTTCCCCCGTGCTTTCCCTCCAGCCTGCAACCGAAAACCAAAGCCCTAGTATAGGAGTTCAGATAAGGGGTCCTTCAAAGGCTGTGTGCAGCAAAGGCAAAAAGAGTTCTGAGCAGCCAAACAAAAAGACATTGTCCTATTGTCAGGAAACGGTGCAACTATTCTAGCGAAACCATGGTTATCCTCGTGAAGACTAAATTCAATCTCTAAGATAAGTTGTGGATCAGCAATGCAGGATCCATGGATAAGGCTCTTGCAAAGCCACGCGAAATCCGTAATGAGACACCTCTCCTTGTTGAGATGGATACTGTGTAGAGCGTTGCTACTATCATTGCTTTGTTCCGTTGCCCCTAAACCCTAAGCCCTCTAAAGCACGGACTAGCCCTAAACCCTAAACCGCCCTTTCCAAACAGCCAAGCTTCCCAGACCATGCTCGTTCATCAAGCCATACGAGGCTTCCCAAAGTGCATAGGTGTGGTTCACCTCACGGTTCATTGTCCTGCTATTGCGTTCCTGTACGCATCAATCTTTGTGTCTGTTTGTCTCTGTCTGTGTGTATGTGTTCGTGTTGGGGGGAGGCGGGGTTGGTGTGCTGAGTGTCTGGTTAAGGTGTTTTTTAGGCATGACCTGGGATGTCGATTTTGAATCAGGGTATTGCTTTGCTGATTTAGCCTGGAGCTTGAGCTCTAGCTTTCTCGGGAGTTTAATGAGGGTGCAAGAGGATCTCAGTCTGTTCTGCTTGTGCAGCGATGACGCCCGCGATTGGGCTGCCCCTGCCTTACACATACAATCAACTCTTGCCACAAAGCTGGAAAGCCTCAGTCCCGATGGCAGCAGCCCCGAACTGAACACATAAAACCCACAGCCGCCGACACCGAAACCCCAATTACCATCACAACTACCACTACTATACTGCTGATGCTACGACAGGGATGACCACCACCACCACCACCACCACCACCACCACGACCACTGCCAAACGACGACGATCACGACGTCGACTACGATACGATGATAATGGCGACTGCTACTCATGCTTCGGCTGCGACTTCCGCTGCTACTACTTTTCTTGAGCCAGGAGCTTGGTAGATGCTTGGAGTTCCACTACTACTATCACCATTTGCTGCTGCTGCTGCTGCGGCGGCGGCTGCCGCAGCTGCTACTCCTCCTCCTCCTCCTCCTCCTCCTCCTCCTCCTCCTCCTCCTCCTCCTCCTCCTCCTGCTGCTGCTGCTGCTGCTGCTGCTGGCTGCTGCTGCTACAAGTACTACTGTACTACTACAAAAACCGCGACTACGACTACGACGACTACTGCCACTGTCAAGAGGAAAAGGACAACGACGATAACTACTACTCTGCAACTCACTACTTCTAAACAAAGCAAGAGAATCCTCCCAACAACTGCTTCGTGTCCCTCAACTCAGGGTGCCATATTGCGGCTCCGTACTAATGTGCACTCCTTGACTACCAAACCCCCTTTGCTCGATATTTGGGCTCTTAAAGGAAATGGTTTACCATCGGGGATCCTACATTCTGAAACACCCACCCGACAAAGCCGAGTTGCCTGAGGTATTCGGCCAAGTTCCTCAGGGGTAAACGGATATTCTGAGGAAGGTAGTCATGGCCACAAGTATGATGCTTCTGCTGATAGTCAGGACATGTTGCTTTTGCTGGTTTTGTTTTCCAGCAGCTAAGCGGTTCGTTATTGGGGATGCTTCTGACATGGCAATTATCTTGTTTTTATTCACGTAGGTATCGGTGTTGGTGTATGCACGTGCAACTACCGTGGTCTGTGCGGCTGCTTTTGCTGGCCACAGCCCAAGGGGTTCCGGGTCTGCAGCCGGGATGTGCATCTGCTCGTCGAGGAAAGCAAGACGGTCTGCTATATGGTGTTTCGGACAGCCACGCAAAACTGAACATGCATTCATTCCTGGTGGTTAGTTGCAGTATGAGCACAAAAACACATGGAAACACAGAAGGGTGCTCGATTGTTGTATCGTCGACAAGCAGAATGCAAACCCACAAAAGTAGCCCATCTCCTACGAAAGGCTGCTATTCTACATGCTTTTAAGCCAGCTTGTCTTTATCTTTTACCTAAACCCCCAAAAGTAGGTAAGATAAAGGCCCAATACAATTAACATGCCATTGTTCTACATACTTTGGGGGTCTAGGAAAGCACGAAGATCCGAACTCCAGGTCCTTGGATGCTGTGATGCCAGCTCCAGGCTGGTACTGCTCCGAGCCTTACGGGAGTCAGGTGAACACTGCAACGCTTGGTTAGCGTGGCATCTTTATTGGTCTTAGTTTTAATACTGGTCTTAACAGTATTACTATCTTGTTATTTTATCAATTATTAGCATAAGTGCCGCTATTGTTATTGTCATTGCTAGTAATATCACAAGTATTATCATTATTGCTCTTGTTGTTGCTAAAAGTAGTGGCAATAATTGCTAGTCGTACAAACTTATTATTGATTATGATTTACTTTTTGTAGTCATTAAGTACTAGTTCGATTTGATTCGTGATTATCTCAGATATGGTTATACTTAATATATTGTTTTCAGCGGTTTCTGGATTATCCTTCTTCTTGTTAGTATCTTGACAATCTGTTATCACTACAAGCTAGTATTGATACTAGTAGTACTATTCTGGTATACTGCAGTAGTACTAGTGCCGGTACTAGTACCCTCGTACTAGTACTAGTACTAGTACGCGACCGGTATCAGAAACGAGAAACGGTCCACGACCAATACGATGCCACTGATGCTACCGTGCTAAATACTTAATGCTGTTCTTCCCTGTCAGCTGCAGCTGCTGCTACAGCTATTGTGTCGAACACGTATACTCCTGAGATGGTCCAGCGACCCCCGCGGCGAAAGCGAAAGCGACGACAATGACATCAAGCACCACAAAACTGAAAGCTCTCAACTCTAACCCCAAAAGCCAGTCCGTTTGAGGTCATCACGTGAAGGGTCCACAATTCGCGGATAAGTGCTCCAGACCGCATCGTACACTATCCGTTCCTGACGTTCAGAATCGAGAGGAAGTTATAGTTCGGGGACACTAAGGAACTCCAACATCTCTGTATGAGGGGATAATCCTGGAATTGGAAAAGGGGCCCCTGATAAGTAAGGGACCATTAATGAAAAGACAGCGAAGTCTCCGGGCAGGCAGGGGGAGCCTGGCCACTGACAAGCAGTAGGGCAAAGCGGATGCAAATTCGAAGCTCGATAGAAGCCTCTCCTTTCTGTGTGCTAGCAAACACATAGCCTAGGTCAGCCAGAGCTTTCGGCCTACTTGAGCTTGTGCTCTGGAGAACTTGTTGCGATCAGCTTCATTGCGTTTCATTCATACAAATCATACTAAGAATCCGGCTCTACGGCCGGTCCTTCGCTCCTTCTGTGCGTATGACTACTATGCTTCCAAGCAATCTCCCCTCCATAATTTAGAAATTTCATTCCATCAAAGCATAGATTCACGTTAGGGGTGGGTTGGGCATGGAGCCCACGAGAACTTGTTGCTTCAACTTCAACCGAAGCGCATAAATAGAAAACTGTCGCAGCTACTTGTAATCAGAAGCAACTAGATCCAACACGCACTAGAGCAGGGGCCTTCATCGTGAGAATCCTTTCTTGTAAGGAGTCCTATGGGAGACCATTTCTTTTATTCATGTTTCTGACATTGGAATTTCAAAGAGTTCTATGCGATGCCCTCCGTGCAAACTTCGCGAAAATCGACAAGCCAGTGCTTGCACCGTTTGAAGGTTTTTCCCACTTCTCGACTTGTGCGTGTCATCCTTGCGCAGGGGCCATTGATAATCTACTCTGTGTCGTTCCAACTTTTCGGATGATCCCAAAACAGGGAAGGTTAGGTTTGGGGTTTAGGGCGTACGGCGTACGGTTCAGGACTTCGGAATGGGGCTTCAAGCAGAACTGCAGAAGCCACCCATTACCCTACAACTACAGCCTGAACTCTCAAACCCAAAACCTAAATACACCCTAGACTGGACACCCCCAGAAAGCACCTGCACAAACTTTTTGAAGGTAATAAGTAGGTTACCGGCAGTCTTCTATAGTTTTTGACTACGTGCTCTTGGGTCCCTAATGGGCGCTAAACGCGCTGAGTTTATCCAAGTGGCGGAGTGGGGCGGATGGTCTTTTGCCTGCAGCGGCCGCAAAGGCCGTCATGTCTTAGACTATCGGAAAGTGTTAGGCTTGCTACCCCACCGCAACCAACATCGAGTGTACTCAGGCCCTAGAAAGAGAGAAGTCATGCCACTGTCAGGTGTGGTTTAAAGAACCGCAAATCCTCAAGCGCTTTGAGGAGTTTGAGGCCATGACTGAGAATCTGAAGTGTAAAGTTAGTTACAAGAAAATACTATCATATACTACAGTATATTAGCATGTTAAGATATTATACCATACTATGAAAACCTATAACTCACACACGCACTAGTACTATAGCACAAACCCTGTCCTAATGTCAGGCACGACTCTATCAACAAATCCTCTCCACCCCAAGTGCCCGGGCATGAGGTTAAAAACAGACGTGGCAGCATCGCCGGAGGCATGCCCGTATCACAGCTGCCTCAACATGTTTGAAGCTGTTTGTTGTTTTTTTGCCTTGCAGTGTCTCGGAATATCAAGGGCCCTGAATAAAGATTCCAATGGTTGGCAAGAGCACGCATGTGCCTTAAGGCCCACCTGTGCTCTCTTTGCCTGGGCCTGTTTTTCAGAAACTAGTAACGAGGCTTGCTGGCTGCCGGAACATACAAAACCTATCTGTGCTAATTTCTACGTAGGCGGCTAAAGCCAAGCTGCTGGGACATAGGCCATGCGCCAATCGCAATCCTGAGCTCGCCGGACTCTGTCAGATAATACTACCTATAGTTTCCGTTGTAGTTCCTTTTTGGGGTTACCTTTTAGGATCCCTAATATAGAATTGGTTAAACCACAAAAAGGAACTACAATGGAGACTATAGGTAGGTTCTTGAGACGCCGCTTTCTAACCACCTGAGAGATGTGCACACCGTTGCCATTGCATACATCCCTGCCTGCCTGCATGCCTACCTGTCTTATAGGGGTCTTAGGATTCTTCGCAGGGTTTGAAGTCATGCTGGTTCACGTAGAGAGCACATTGGAAGACCCAGAGTAGAGACTCACGAAGCTCCTCCTTAATGATAGCACTTCTGTGCATTCTCGTCCTGGGTCCTGCGATCAACTCAGGACGGGATAACCTCGACTTAACATCTCTTAGGGCTCGCTCTCGGCTGATGAAGTGTTTTGCAGCACACGCTCCAGCAAAAACCCTCGACAGTGAACCCATGTTCAACCCAACGCCCTTTAAGCCGCAACCTCCAACGACTCACAGGAGGCTGAGCACTGTGAATGGGGACCAGAACCTTCAGCTACTGCAGCCTCGTGGATGGAACTGGCTGATGGTCCAAATCCCTGAACTTCGCTAGCTGGCTGCTTGCACCAGAGTCGGCGCAGTCGTTCGAGTGGGATGCAATGGCGGAGCCGTCGGCCATCGCATCTGCATTTACGACGATGCCTGGGTGATGTCACTCCAAGCATGAGCGACAAGCGTGCCGCCGAAAGTTTTTTGCAGGAGCTGCAACGCAGAACAGAATAAGCAAACAGTTCAATCCTCCACGGGACAGAAAGCAAGGAGCCCTGTGCCGGCGATACCGGCGTCAGCAGCTGCTGTCCAAAATCCCCCCCAAAGATGTCTTCAGAATCTGCCACAGGCTTCTCAGGGAAGAGTCTGAAAGTTGCTAAGGCACTAGTGCAGCCATCGATGTCAAAGCCACCTGCAAGCGATTGGCAATGATGCCGTCCACACCAACCGCAGGCTTTCACTAGTGTAGGGGCCTTACTAGTTCACTAGAATAGGGCCATTTTACTATAATTACCATCGTAATAAGGAACCCCCAAATAATATCTAATTAATCACTAATAGGGCCATTTTAGTGTAATTACCATCGTAATAAGGAACCCCCAAATAATAGGTAATAAATTAAAGCCCCTATAAGAAGACACCTGCCCTTTGAAGCATTTTTTCGGTGCGAACAGCAACACTCAAGGCCTCTGCATGACATGCCCCCTTCGAGTTTCACCGACTATTCTCGAAACATGGCCCGACATGCAACCGCTAGCTGATGAAATCCCACATCCAGCCTCAAATCCCTGAGGCCCTACTTCGCAGAGCCATCTACCAAGCCCCAAATCCCACGAAGCTTTGCAGCGCAAGCATAATCCCTAAGTCCTCTGTTATATAAGTCGAGAGCCTAAAACCCAAACCCTCGGTCCGAGCCCCTGCAACCTGAGTCCAAAATCCCAAATCATCTGACTCGAACCCTACCTATGGTCTCCATTGTAGTTCCTTTTTGGGGTTGCCTTATAGGATCCTAATTAGATATTTGGTTAAACCAGAAAAAGGAACTACATTGGAGACTATAGGTATACCCCAATCAGGGTAGGTTTTATAGCTGGCGGATTAAACACAGCAATGCCCTCAAGCCCACCAAAATCCGAAACCGAGAAGCCCTCCACTACATCCAGGCCTATTGAGCGACTGCCAGGAACCCCGAAAGCCATAATAAAAGTGGTGCACTTCGCAGCTACTTGTACTGTCAGTTCTTTCGGCAGGGCACCGGCACCGGTGACCAGTGCCAAGGACAAAGCGAAACGCCGGACCATAAGCGCCTTATGAAGACGAGTTTGATAGGAACTGAAAGGGTTCAGTCAGGCTTTCAATCTGAAGCTGTGAAATTCTACAAGGGCCCTCCTAGGATTTCAATGGGCGAGTACAGGGTATGCTAGGTTCTACCATAGCCCGGTGCTGACAGTCTCGGCTTCGACATTACCCCAGGAAAAGTTGCGTTTTTTCTCGACAAGGGTCTGGCATCTTTTCCCATCAGCTATGACAAGGATTAATAGCTCTTATTGGGCTTAGCCGCTGTTCATCCAGAGAGGTTTCCGATCCACAGGCAGGCTTTAGGATAAGTTGCGCGAGTATCGTGGGATATCCTGAGAGATTGTGATCAAGTCACCTCACTTGAGGGTTCAGGGTCTAGGGTGCGATAGTTTGGTTGGCAAGGGTGGTAGCTCCAGGACTTGCACCTTCCTTTCGGATTCAGGGTTTGGAAAGTCGAGACTCGAGTCCAGCAGCAAAAGGCCTGAAGCCTAAAGCCTTTTTAGCACTCGCGCTCGACAAAGTCAAGCGAGGGTTGAGGACGGTGACACCATACTCCAGGCACATTAGCCTAAAACCTGAACACTATAGACTCCAGGTTATTTCGTTGAAATCCTGTCCTTCTTCAGTTCAGTCTGCGGTAGAGTCTGCTAGCTTAGAGTAGTCCTGACCTTAGACTCAGCCCAACAAAATTCGGCCCTTTCGAAATCCCTGCTGTTTAAGTGTTTAAGCCATAGGCTGAACTGTGTGTCGCGGGCCTAGCAATGCAGTGGCTTGCAACTTCCCATGGAAGTCTATGCAATGAAGCTTGGCGCCAAGCAGCTACCGTCCTGCCGTCGTCCGAAGGTCCTACACTGCTGTGCATGCAAGGAACTCTCTCTCTCTCTCTCTCTCTCTCTCTCTCTCTCTCTCTCTCTCTCTCTCTCTCTATATATATATCTATATATATATATATACATACATACATACATATATATATATATATATATATGTGGATAGCGCTTCTGCACCTGTCTTGCGATAGGTTGTCAGACTGTGACATGGCAGTCCTGAACGATGGCAGCTGCTAACAGGCAAATGCAGTAGATATGGGAATTGCGAGTTGGAAAACAGCAAATCTCTGCGTTTTCCGGTCTCGAAGCTCGGTGAAGCCAGAGCTGATGCAAAATGACTAGAAGGGAATCTTCGTAGGCTGCACTTCTGCTATGATCAGGCTCGAGCACAAAACTGCGGCGTGCATTGGAAAGCGCATTCGCCCTCGCCACAGCTCAGTCAGTTTCTTCTCGGCAGCCTCCATGTGTTAAAAACAAGTGCGAATGCAGTGGGGTACGCTGGATCATGTTGTTTGGGGTCCTGCTTCCAACTCACAGACGAGGGTCTCTTCTAGAGAAGTCACCCAAACCTGCCGTGATGCCGCCGTGTCGTGTTGCTCCGCAAGGTTGCCTCCTGATGCTGTTCTGCAGCAGCTCGTGCGCAGCATGCGCATGCAGAGTGATGTTGGAGCGCTTCGCAAAATCCCCGTGAACACTATCGCCGGAGACCCAGCGTGACCGATGAATTTGCAAGTGCTTGCGTTTTTTGCTTACTTATTTACATGGCTCAAGGTCATGGAACGTCCTAGTGTGCACCCAGTACCTGGGAGTATGAGGACGCGACATGCGCTTCAGGGCTGGCAATGCTTAACCCCGGGTCCGCTTAACCATCTTAACCCAAATCTGCCAAGAGCGCCACGGACTCGAACAGGAACATGAACGCCTGCGAAGACGCCTCAGCCCGATGCTTTTGCGCTTGAAGAAGCTGGTTCGAAGCCCTACATGCGCCGGGAGAAGCGATGTCAGGTGCACCGGGACTTCTGTGGTTTTCATGTGTGTTGATGCCTGCTCCCCAGAAGGAGGCCTTCAACAGGCCACATGGAGCATTGTCTCGAATTGCGGGTTTCAAAATGTAACGGGCCAGGTGGATTCAAGTTTCCGCCCGGCCTCACTGCCCTTTGAAAGGAGCCTAGGGGTCGACTTTGCATAATATAGGGGCCTTAATAATTAGAATAGGATTTTGGGGGGTACATTTTACTATAATTACAATGATAATAAGGAACCCCCACAATAGTATAGGTAATTATTTTGGCCCCTATATTAACTTCATCCTGCCCGGTACATCGATGTCGTCGTTCGATGCTCCTTATACGGAACGTAAAAGCTCACCTGCATCTTTAAGCCCCACCTGCCCCAAAACCTTAAGCTTCAAACCCTAACCGCGAAACTCGCAAATCCAAAAACCCAAGCATCAGCAGCCAAGGCTGGTTCAGAGTCGTTGTCGAACTCCCGGCGAGCAAGGGCAATAGTTCCGTCAGCCTGAGGGAAGGAGTGGTCTTGAGAATGCTGTCTGCTCCAATCAGTAGCGGCAGGGTAATGAGAAAGTCCTGCATCTTCTACTGTTCAACAGAAGGCTGCCGTACGCAGAACCTTGCTGGTGTACATACGTCCGATCCAGCAAGGCTCCTCTTCCTGGGCCATGTCCTTGTCAAGTCCTTGTTCTTGACCAAGAGCCGCGTGAGCGACATGTTCGATGTCGCCACGGGGGGGGGGGGGGGGGGGGGGGGGGGGGCTTGGGGTTTTGGGTTGAGGCTACGTGGCCTCGTGTCAGCAACCACCACAGTCTCAGCCTCCTAATGCAGGAACCTGATTAAGAAACCTTGGGCCTTTATTAGGGTTCCTATGAACCCTACTATTTTGGGGTTCTAGGCCCAGGGTCTCTAAATCAGATTCCTACATTACGGTTCGACGCTGCCCGGCCTGGAACGGGATCTTCACCTCGGTGCCGACGAGTCTCGCCTCGTCGATCGTCTCGCCATACAGCGCCTCCGGAACGTTAAGGGTTTAGGGAGTGGGGTTTGAGAAGGGCAATCTCTATGGTTTAGGGGGTGGTATTTTCGGTGGCTTGCTTGATTTCAGCGTTTTGCTTCAGGGCTAATTCCTTTACGGTTTCGGGTTGCGAGAGCCTCATGCAATTTTGGAAGGCTCAACTGATTCCAAGTTTAGGCGGCCAAGTGATGCACACCGTCTGGCCCCAGATGCATACGTCCGTCCGAAACCGAACACCGTGTCCATTCGGTCATGAGATGTCGTCATACTTCACTAGTGAGCGCCAGTGCAACCAGAATCAAAACCCTGAATCCTATAAACCCTGATGAAACCATGAACTTCACTTCCTGCACTGCAACTAGAGGCCTCTTTTCGACCTCGGATGCCAACTTCCAGAGGGATGGTCCTGACCTTTGGAAGCATAATGTAGGAACCTGGTTCAGAAACCTTGGGCCTTTATTGGGGTTCCTTCTGTGAATCCTCCCATATTTTTGGGTGCATATATGCACAACGTTTACCTAAACACCCAAACGTAGGTAAACTAATGGCCCTATACCTCTAAACGGCTATTCTTCTGCATGCTTTTTGGGATCCAGGCAATCACACCAAAACAGCGTGCACAATGCCAGATCGACAGAGTCGCGCCACGGTCCGGGGATGTAAGTTGTAAACAAGGGAACCTATTTGGCCGCAGGGTGGGTGCGATGAGAGCGATTGGGAGGCAGGAGGGAAGCAAGTTTCTCCGCCTGGGTTTCAATGTCTCCATGTGCCATGTGCAAACAATAAGTTGTACAGGCTCTGTACACTCTGGGTTTGTGGGACCTTGCATTGCAAGAGCTCTTGCAGCACGGCTAGTAGGCAGAACAGTGTGCGGGGGGTGTAGAGTGTAGAGCGTATGTATGTACACACACACATCTCTCTCTCTCTCTCTCTACATATAGGCTGTGAACGAAAGACCAACGAGAACAGTGGGAACAAGGAGATCTGTACCAAGCATATATTCGCCGCACGAGTACAACAACTACTTGCAGTAGCCACTCCAACCACTTGGGTGATTGTCAAAATTATGGTCTCTTTTTGGGAACCCTAAATATTAGGCGCCGTATTAAAATAGGAACCCCAAAAGGGACCCTAATTTGACCACCACCCACTTAGGCATCGTGGCGCTGACCACATCGGTTGCAATCGTGCCATGAGCAGCTGCGACCCTGATCGTGTCGAGCTTATTCATGTATATCAAAAGGGAAAAGGAGAGACCCTTAATGGGGACCCCTACCCTATAATGGACCATATAATGGGTATATAATGGTATAGAGTCTATTCATAGGCCACATAGTAGTTCCTTGTTGGGGTTACCTAATAGGATTTCTAAACATGAACCCCAAGAAGGAACTACTATGGGGCCTATGGGTATTCATGTATCTGCACCCTGAAACCAAAAAAGCACAATTCTGATGTTGATCACTTCTAGGGTCACGACGGGCTGCCCCGGTCCGGGCGAGAAGCCATTTCCCTTATCCGCACCAGGGTCGCCAGTCCTCAGCGAGAGCGTTCAGGCCTCTTTATATTGGCTGCCGCAGGTTGTTCGGCACTGCTGTGGGTTTAGGATTGGCAGTTTCGACTCGTGTGCGAAATGGCCACAGAGATGGACTCCGTCAGTGAATGATTGGGTGCTCTGGTATCCGGAAGGACTAAAGACTACATTGGCAATCACAGTCACTATACACTGGGTCTCACGAAAATGTCCGTCGAACAATCGGCAGACAGAGCTGTTGGGCAGTCTTTAACGTGAGTTTGTAACTCTCCACCTCCATCTACCCTCTATTAGACCCCTATTTGAGGGTAGAAGGAGGGTCCTAGCACCTCATCCAGCAACTGAGAATGCCGCTGAATGATGAAGCCGTCGGCACGCTGGATAGGCAGCCTGTCGCAGAATAAAGGACGGGGAGAGTGACGCTCCTTAGATGGCCAGTGACCGACGCTAGGGACGACATGGGGGTTTCCGAAAATAGGGGACCCTAACATAGTACCCTAAATAGTAGGATCCTTATCCCCTAAATCAGGTACCCCGTGTTCCCCTTTTTTCGGAAACTCCCACATGGCAGATCGTCAGTGGAAGAAGCATCAGGCTGATGTCGCTACATGTTCGGCGACCCGGTTCCCTCACAAATGACAGTACTTAGAGGCCCAAGGGACTTAGTAAGTTGGTTATAAGTAGGGTTGATATTGGGGTAACTCCATTTAGGGTACGTATTGCTTTAGTTATAACCCACTTACTAAGTCCCCTGGGCCGCTAAGCAACCCAAACTAGGATCGGCTGCACCAAATTTTCGTCTGCGAATGGTGGATGGTGTGGCAGCACCATCCACCACGTGATCTCAACTGGTAGTGGCAGCCTGATATGTGCAGTGTGTACAGACCTTGAGATTTCAAAACCGATGCCGAGAACTGTGTACTTCGCAGACCAACCGTACAAACTCAGATGTCTTGTCGGAACGGGGCAACGTCCGCACACCAAAAGACTCCAACATCTCTTCATGAAGAACTCCTGCCAGCAAACCCCTCAGCGGCCACCAAAAGCAAAAATGATCCCAAACCCCAAAAAACGACCCAATAAACACACTGATGCCCCAAGAATCCTCCCCGGCCCAGCATTGCTGTGACCAAAACACCCCCCTAAACCCTTAACCCCACGCCCCGTTAGCCGGGCCCGTTGTAGAACTTCCGATTCACCAGGTCAAGGAAGTTGCCGGCCTAGGCGAGTTAATCGATGTGTTGGGGTTTAGAGTTTAGGGTCTGGTTGTCATGGCTTGACTTTATCTTCCGACAGGGGTAGGTTTGGGCGGCCACGGTTTGGGGTTCAGGGCCGGAGGGGTTTAAATTTCAGAACATCACGCCCTGGTGGCGTGTTTTTTCGCGTGTTCGTGTTTTCACTTGCACTCTCAGATGGCAAGCTCAGGAAGCTCTTCGCTTCCCGCACATTGTTTTAGCAGCATACAACATTTTACGACGTAGTGTGAATTGACAACACATTCCACCAAACCATTTGAAAATGTTTGGGCATAACCGAACACCGGTTCGAGACAGATAAAGTTATGGGACAAACTTTCAAGGACATAAGGGCATGGCCTTAAGGTGTGGCTCTAGGCCTTGGAGTGTGGAGGCCTGGAGGCCTGGGGGGGGGGGGGGGGCGCCAAAAAAAAAAAAAAAATCTGGTGTGCAAAATCAATGGTCCATTTTTTTTTTTTTTTGCGCCCCCCCCCCGCCCCCAGGGGCCTTCTGGACGGAGATCCGGAGGGCGCATGTCTGTAAGCAGAGGATGCCTGGGGCCTTCGGCCTTTGGCACTTCCAATCCAGTGTCACTCAATCATTTCAAGGTTTCTAGTATGCCACCAATCCTGTCCTATCCAATGAAACATCCGTCTGTCAAGACTTTACGCTTGCTATTGTTGTCCACCACCTAGGAAAGCGGCTCCAACACCTGAAAACTGTGACATGGGTTACTGATGACACTCATACATGACAGAAGTATGATGGGTAATTCATTCTACACAGTAAAAGTATGATGGGAATAAGATCCTTGTACCGCGACCCAAGTTCAGAAGGAGTTATTGGGCTTCGAACCCAAATGCATATGATGGTCTTAACCGTCTCAAGAGATGCTGGGTGGCGAACCCAAAACCTTAGACTGAAAGTCGTCATTGGCTTCCAACATTCTTGGACATCGTAGAAGATATTGGGCCCTCACCCGGAAACTTAGACAATGCCAGCAAAAATTGCAAGCTACAAAATACTTGCTACATTTGAAGCGGAACATATATAATTACCTGCAAGCCAACATTGGTATACATATAGGTGTTTGTACCTACATATATATGTATATATGTATCTATATACACGTCTGTGCATGCATGTTGGTATATGACATGCAGGCATGCATACACACCTACATATGGATGTGTATGTTTACATACACATATGTTCATGCTGTTTCCATGATCATGCTTCTGCAAAACTTATGCACACATACATATATGCTTAATACATATGAACATACACGGGGTTATACGTACATACATAAGTATCACGGAAGTATGTGCAATATTTCTGAAATATGCGAACATATGTGTATGCAACAATGAGGCATTTAGGCAGCCATGCACTCAAAGGAAAATGGAGGGCCTCAGGCTCCTATCCCAAACCCCTAATGGGCATGGTGGGTAGAGGATGCGGAGTCTCAAATCTGTGTGGAAGCACGTCCTCCATACCTGTACATATATACATCTACATATACATGTATATATATATATATATGTGTGTATATATATATATGTGTATATATATATATACATAGATATGCACGTATACAAGTTCATGCACTCTCGAAGCCTATGCAACCATATACAAGTTCGTGAACTTTGGAAGCCCATGCACGAGCACACACATGTATATGCATATATCTATATACATATATGTATGTATATATATATATATATATATATATATATATATATATATATACACATAGGTTATTTTGTGATATACATGCAAGTACCAGGGTATGTAACCGCAAGGCCACTCTGCAGTTGCACACACGATGTAGATTGGAACCTTGCAAGCATATTATGGGTGGATGACACATGTATACACACATACACACACATATAACTTTGTGTGCATCACGGAAATGGGTAATTACATTGTCTTTCGGATTTACATGGAAGTGGGTGGATGATGGCGAACAACAGGTCTTCAATAGAATAACTGATTAACATGCCCTATTACACCGTAAGCTAATCCTTAAAAGGTGTGGCCCACCCAGCCAGAAATGCAAATCACAGTAGGGGATGCCGGGAGACCACCAGAATAAAAACCAGAGTCTGAACACTTTAGCGCATATCACGGGCTACACTTATCCACGAAAGATATATAGTGTGTAGCGAACCTAAGTACCGAAAAGGATGACGTGTGTCCAGAGCATCCAAACTCTATTGGAAGACATTCGGCTGAAACGCAATGCCGCACATGGATGTAATGAGCCAAACCCCCGTAGAAGTTCGATGAGTGGCGGAACCACAGCTGGATCCTCAAATCGATGACTGACTTCCCAAATACAGGCAGACTAGAAGATGTTGCACTCTCAATCCAAGGCTTCAATAGTAGATGATGGGTAGCAAACCCAAAAACTCTTTCAAAGGTGGCAACCCCCTCAGAGCTTTATAAGTGTAGGAGTGTAGAGATTCCTTTCGCCACGGCTTCAGATGCGGTTGTACACATCGATGACGGTCTGCCTGTCAATATAGTCTTTTAGCATTTATGCTGCAGCCCACGCCACAATTTCATTCCCTAGTTGAAGACATGATATATACAATAAGTGACAGGTCAACATTCGTATGCACATGTAAATATACACATTTCCATAAACACGCATCCATTCAAGTCAGATGCATATGTGGATAGACACCCAGGGGTTGTGATGGATTTTAATGATTTCGACATGAGATGCCAGATCACGCACCTCAACTTCAATGGAGATGCTGGATGGCAAACCATCTCCCTCTTCCCCAACAAACTCCTACTTCGTGACATGCCCAAGACTCAAAATCAAGGGTACAATGCCTGGATGAGGCAACACAACGCTTAAAGTTCTGGGTGCAAAAACTCGTGTGACAACCTCTAAATTACCGAGAAATACACGCCACCAGGGCGTTGCACTCTCCAGAACATAGGGCTCGGGGCAGACGGCTTTAGGCCATGTGTCCGTAGGGAGAGCGATCTCGGCTTCTACAGCTTTAAGGCGTGTGTAGCTATGCGGAGTGTCTGTATGTATCTATCTATGCATGCAAATATAAATAAATAAATAAATAAATAAATATATATATATGCTCACACCCCCCACCAAGACCTACCGCGAGGTGCTTCGGCTAGCAATGGGTAGTAGAACATGTAAGGATTTGAGGAAACCATTAGGATAAAATACACTCATACATAATCAATGGAAACATATATCGTGTATAATCAATAGCTGAATACACTGTAATGACCTACGACGGCGCGACATCGCCGTTGGCGGATTTGGGCAAGCTTCAATGCCTGCAATGGTTTAATAGGATACTGCCTAAATGTTCCGGATATTCATAACTCTGGTCATATAATGACCATAGGCATAACCCGAACACAGGACCAAGACAGAACAGTGTCTGCATCCTACGTAAGATCGTTAGATGCGCCCGCCGGGTAACTTTGTGTTTGTCATTGTCTGTTTTTAATTTTGTTCATGTACTCATAGGCATAACCCAAAGACGGGACCAAAACAGAACGATGTGTGCATCCTACCTAGGATCGTAATGAGGGTTACATGTGCACACATGTTTATTCTGTGTGAAGCTCTTAGGTTACTCATGCGCCAATGTGTATAATAGCTATTACTAGTGCGAATACTAATACTGATACTAAGATTTCTATTCCTACGCATAACATAATAGGCTTAATGGTTAATACTGGTATTTAAAATTACACTACTAATTCGAATAGTAGTGCTGATGGGAATATTAACACTCCTGGGGATACTAATACGCATATTCTTATTAACTGTTCTCAATATGAATACTAATAGTACTAGTTGTTTGGAATACTAATACTTGTCCGAATATTCATACCAATACTCAGGCTACTGCGATTATACATAATAGGACATTAATATGGGTATTCGTATTAAGGTCAGCATTTCCTTCGAAAGTATTCATATGCGCATCATAATTCATCTTAATACTCGTACTGATATGAATTAGTATGATTACAAATACTTTTACGAAGACGGGTACTTTCAGCAATACCGATACTAATATGAATACTAGTGTTCCTACGAATATTAAAAAACATACCCATATTGATAGTAATTTTAGTACTTATTTGTTACCAATATACACGCAAATGCTGACATTAATACTAATATGCACATAAGTGATACAGTTCCTCCGCAGATTAATGCGCATAGTCTTATTAATTATTCTCAGTACTTATATTCACATTAAAAAAACCTACACTAACATGAATAGCAGTATTACCACTTGATACTCCAGCTAATACGATTATGCATAGTATGAACAGCGATACTGCTATTGATACCAATATTAATGCTCCTACGAATACTAATAATCACGTTCAAACCAAATACAAAAAACAGACACATCAATGTACCAAAGAATCTGTATTTTCACATACCAATAAATAATATACTCGTATACTACTATTCCAATGTTACCATAGACTTACAAATACAGAATATCCTGATATGAGACTATACACTGGTTAATATTAACGCTAAGAATATGGCAGAGACTAAGACCAAGACTAATACGAATACTAAAACTCACACTAGACATTAACACTACCATTAGTACACCTATTGTATAGACTTATATTCAGACTAATACTAACGCTGACATTGGAATTGACATTGACACTGACACCAACACTAACAGTAACACTAATCAACACGCTAGAACGCAGATACTAATACTAACACTAATGCCTAATGCAAATCTGAAGACTACTGCGCGTAAACAACGAAACCATTTCCGATCAAGCATGCTGCGCGCTGTATTGGCTCTAAGGCTTCGAGAACCCAAAATCCAAAAAACAAAAAATCCAAAACCTTTGTCAGGGGTGTCGAAACTTTTGGATTTTTTTGTTTTCCTAGGGTTTTTTTGGTTTTCCAACAGAAAACAAAAAAACAAGTTTTTTTTGTTTTCCAGCAGAAATCCAAAAAAATCCAAGGTCCTTTAGTTTTCCAGCAGATATCCAACAAAAACACAGGTGTTTTTTGGTTTTTCACGAGAGACACAGCAGAAAAACAAAAAAAAACTTGTGTTTTTTTGGTTTTCCACCGAAAATCAAAAAAAAGCCATGGTTTCGCAAAGGCAAAGCCCAAAAAAACAAAAAAGACCTAGGAAAACCAAAAAATCCAAAAGTTTCGGGCCCCTCAGAAAGGCTTTGGATTTTTGGATTTTTGGTTTTTTGGTTTCCGCCGTCGTATCGTACGGTTTCTTTTAATGTTTCTTGCTTATGAATACAGGCATGAGTTTGAAAGCGGACATGAGTAGGCACGACGTTGTAAAGAGACATGACTTCACATCAGCCATGATAGAGAAGGTATCATCCCCGAAAATTACGCAAAACACGAATCGTATGCCAAACGCGAATCCCTGCCAAGAGAAGGTTTTGACAATATTTACAATGGAAAAGAGGCCGAGGTAGGTCATGGTGGGGGGTGTGTCCATATATATACATATATATATATATACACATACATACATGAAACATATATATATATATATACACACTGGCTCTACAGGTAGCTTTAACGCCTTCAAGGCCAGAGAATATACTATGTAAGCACTATTGTTGACACTGACTCCGACAACGGCAAGAGTGACTCTGAATGACCACGTATTAAACTACCCAAAGGGGAGTTGCACATGGTACAGGGCCAGAATACAGACACCAACAGCACGAAGGCAGGTTGCAAATAAACGTATATCTATCTCTCTCTCTCTGTATAAATATATATATATATATATATATATATATATATAACATACACTTACATATGCACACATACACTGCAAGGGCTCTGAAGATTGAGACAGAAAAATTGAAGCTCCATTGCTTGCGAAGCCTTAACCAGGTTGGGGCTGTAGGGTTTCGACTCTCATGCTCGCACAAAACAGGCATGCAAGGCTCCACACAATCCAGACTCGCATGAGACAGCAGCCACTGCGATCAACGTTCGGGTTTTGGGGTTCCAGGGTTTACGGTTTGGGCCTTCAACGTGCCGTTCGCGACAGAAACACGTGCAGCTGTGTTTCGCGGGAATTGTAGGCAGGCGAAGCTTCATCGGAGTGCTTGAACCCAAGATCATGAACTCTAGACCCCAAAAGCCTATGAACGATTATCCTCAGACACCTGGCGACAGCCCCATTCATTACTCTCCGAATACCACCTCGACACCCTCAATTCCGTACCCTGCACCCGAATGCCGAGCCTTAGCTCCATGGCGATTATGTTAAGCTGAGGCGACTCTATCTGTTGCTAGGCTTCAGGCAGACAGTGGTGCGGACCAGCCGTCAATGACCATAGTAAACTTGGCCTGCGTGCACGAAGGCTGTGGCAAGGGGCAGTTCGAAGGGCATGCATCTAGTGAAACGCAGCGGAATCTGCCAAAAGCAAAGTTGACTAGACTCGCCTAGCAGCGCACCGTTTGCTCGATAGAATCAGATCACAACAAGACAACACACTGAACTTGTTCTAGCTACAAGTACATAAAGTTACGGACACCTCTTCTTCGGCCATACTTGGCCAACCGCGTTTTTTCCCTGGCTCTCCGCAAGAAGGCGGCTCGAGCTTCGAGTTTAGGCTTGGGATCAGGGTTTGCATGTCTGACCTGTGACTCCGAACCTCTTGACAACCCTTTGCACAAACCGCAAGCTCGGAAGGACTACTCTTGACTTTATCGGAACCCTAACACTGAACAATGAGTTTGACCAAACGCGCCACTGCATATTGGCCGTAAGACCCAAACCTTAACCTTCGACCTAACGTTTGAAATTTGGTGCCTGAGTATCTTGGCAAAGAAATCGCAACATGGCCGAAAACCCGCCTGAGAACCCATCTAATACCATGGACCCTCTAAGACCTTAATATTCCGACGAGGGTTTGGGGTATACTGCACTACAATTATAATGCGGGATATATCGTAAAGGAATACTAACACCAATTATTCAGATCTTCGTGTTAGACCCTACAAAGCCTTGAACCTTTAACCTCAAACCTCTGTGCCCTAGACCTAAGACCTCGCTGGATGCCGTAACTAGATCCCATCCATTGAACCCACGGCTTCTGCCTGAACCTACGATGCTGCATGGCAACGAACAAACAGAACCCACTCAAACAATCGCCCGCGCCAAGGTCGAACCCAAAACGTGAGGTATCACAGGGCGGGCTACGACGAAGGGCCTCCTCGATGAGCTCTTCGTCGATGACATACCTGTACCAGATCAGGGGTTTCGGGACTTAAGGTTGGTGGTCTATGGAACCGGTTAAAGGCATACATTCAATACATGTATATACACGTGTGTATATGTACAGAAATGTGCGATTATGCGTGTATGTATCAAGAGTCTATTTGTCCTCAGCTTTCCTTCTATGATTGAAGCATCAGATGCCTCCGCTTGCTCGACTCGCAAAGTCTCTGCACTCACCGTGGTCAGCAGCTAACTTGTCTGGACTTGTCTCAAACCAAGTGCTCAGCTCATGGGTTTGGATTTCCGTGCAAAACAATAGTGAGAGCGAGACAGCGAGTATATACATATATATATATACAGATATAGATACATGTATATGTTTACATATGTATACACATAGTTTTACATGTTGATAGAGTGCAGCATGCCCACCGTCCTCAAGCTTTGAGGCGTCGAGGTCTAGGTAGAGCCTAGGTCACCCTGCAACTGTACTCTCCATAGCTCCGAATGTCTCAGGCAGACTTCAAGGTTGCCAGGAGAGTATAAGGGAGTTTCCGAAGACTAGGGGTACCCTATTGTGGGGTCCTTCTAATAAGGGTTCTATTTTTTGGGAACTATGTTAGGGTCCCTTATTTCGGAGACTCCCACTACGAACAGTACCATAAAACAAAGAGTAATCATAACAATAAAAACAACAGGTAATAGCAGTCATAACAAAATATTATGATACTTACTAATAACTCTGGCAGTCGTAGACTTGTTTGGTCTGACACGGGCTACGACTTGTGCTTAGGCAAGGTTCTGCAAAAAGTCTTACTTGCAACGACCACGCGAACCATGAGGTCCGCTGAACCCTAAACTGCCACCCTGCTCTGCTTTCCCAAGCTGCCTATCCTCCGTCCTTATTATGGTTTGGGATCTATTGCGAGTACTATATCCCCCTACACATGCAAACACTACAGACAAGCTTCTGTCCTAAGACCTCTCAAGCTCTGTCTTACGGATGGCAGAGGCCCTGAAGCCTCCCCAGCGCCCAACTTTCCAAGTCTAAGAAATCTCCAAGACTGAAAAGATTAAAGACAAACATCCAGCCGCCAACACTTATGTAAAACCCTCTCAATTCGTGTAAGCCCCACCCTCACACCCAAAACACCCCCACAACCGTACCTGTTATGGAAATAGACCAGGAAATAATCATAAGGAACCCTCAAACGGTAGGTTCGTAGGGTTGAGGTCATCACCGACAGTCCAGGACTCTGGCTTTGTAGCGCCCGAATCTGGGCCACGGGTGAGAGTCCACTCCAGCACGGCCCGCCCTGATCCGGAACAAGCATGAAGGTTTAGGGTTTTAGGGAGCGAAGATAGAAAGTCAGAGTAGCAATCGCGAGCAGTTTTGGAGTTTCGCATGCCCTTTCCGTCTGGATTGAAAGCTCTTTCCCCCCGCTCGTCAGCCACCGTTGGGGCTTCGGGGTTCCAGGGTTTCGGACGCTACCAGGACCCCTCCTTGTACCCTCAACTTTGGGTATATATGGTCCCAAATAAGGGGCATTTAGGGTCTCATAGAGGGTAGATGGAGGGTCTAGGTAGAATTCCGGCTTCAGTTCGGGCTTGGGCAGAAAGGTCGAAGGATCAAACTCAAAATACAAAGCATATCATGCAAAGCCATGAACACCCGTGCGCCTTAAGAACACTCAAACTTTGTTGAGACTAGAAATGGAACGATGACTGTCAGGGAGCCTGCAAAATAAGCAGCACGCAACCTAGCCTTAACTTCCCTAAAGATCCAAGAACCAGCAATGTATTCCCAAGAGGCTGAGGGGCTTGCATCACGATAGCCATCAAGATGTTCAGTGAAACTCTGTTTTCTCCCCCGCCCCGACATGGCAGGGTGGGTTTGCGGTTTTATAAAGCATGAAGGGTCGGATGGTACGGACTTCCACTCGCGCAACTTGGCTTCGAGAGCAAATTCAGGGTTCACAGCAAACAGTTGCTGCAAAGGTTGAGAATTTCGACTCTAGGATCTACTACAGGGCTGTAGAGCCCGTCCTTGCGGCATGTTTTCAGGGGTTCTAGACTACCGCGCTCGACACCGCCAGAAAAGCGAATTGCCATTGCCATCTTTAAGACTTCCTTCTATATAGTAGTTTTCGGACGCAATCAGTGGAAAACAGTCCCAAAGAAGATCCTCTGAATGGCAATATTCAGATTACATAACCATTTTCAATATACTTTCAGGTGTCGGAAGCCCTATCAAACCTGTAAGTGAACTCTAAACTGAACCCCGAGCCTTAAATCCCAAAGCTCCAACCCTAAACTTCGGTTCTCTAAAGTTGGGTCTGTTTAGGGGTCGTTTTTATAAGGCTGCCGTACCATTTTGGGGACCTGAAAAGGGAACCCAAATTCAGAGAACTACCCATGTGGCACTGGACAGACAAGCAACCATCGAGTCTCGGCAGGTTGGCATACTCCGCCGGAACCTGCGAAGCCACCGGGGACTTCTTGATTAGAGGTAGGCTTCAGGAATTGTGGTTTAGCTATTTTTGTTGGTTTTATGGGCTGCCGTTTATCACTAGGGTTTAGGGCTGAGGGGGTAGCTTATTAAAGGGTGCCTTACTATGTTGAGGATTCTGCTACCGGTGTCTACTCAATCTTGCTGCGCACAAACGGCAACAAACGTGTGAGTTCATCAACAGAGGCAGGTTCTACGGGCTTTGCACTGCTTATCTTGGCGGTGGTCGTGGTTGTCGCAGGAGTAGTTGTAGAAGCAGCTGTGGCTCTAGCAGCCCAAAGCGCCCTAAAACCGGCGGGCATGGCACTCATGATGATGCCCCTTCTACAGGGTACGTGTATGGCTGTTCCCACCGCTGCTGTTGCCAACTGCTACGATTCAGAAAGTAGGATGCGATGACGAAGTGTAGGCATTCACACAGCCGATGCTGCCTCTTTAACCGTTGATGATGCGAACCTTCAGCTGCGCAGATCGCAATGAGGTGGTGCAGGTAATCTGTACTACCACTTCCGAGGGACCTGAGAAGCCACATAAACATGAGGATCTCGTAAGAGAGGTTTCCTGGAATATGCCAAAATCAGGGGATTCTCGTGTGCATGTGGTCTCTCAGAGCCCTTAGCTCCCACTGCTCTCACAGCTACAGGTCAAAAAGTGCCTGCTCGCCACAATTTGATTGATGGCTGCAGATCGCATCAAGATACGCAAAACACAAAACCGCCTTCCTGATGGCAAGCACCGGCTCTAGACCTCATTTGCCACCTGAAGACAAAGGCCCTAGGCCTGCACTAACACGCGGGTACCCCGTCGAATTCGGTATTCTCGTGATGCCTTGCAAACGGCACAGCCATTTCATAAAGCCTGGCGAGAGGATTCTGGCTCGTTCTGAGCTTCCTTCGCTGTTTCCACATCCTCACTCACCACGTTCTCAATGCTATCATCACTGTCGGACTTGCTCCCCTTGGGCGGCTCAGGCTCCTGCGGCCAACCAACTAACGAGGCAGAAAGGAAGAGTCCGCTTGGGAGAGTCCGCTTGGGTTGGTTGAAGATGTTGGACATCCTGGTGTTGACATTGCGGTTTGATCTGCTACCTCGTAAACGATGTAGCACCACGACCTCACAAGTGGAAACACAAGTTTACACCGGCCGAGTGAAAACACCTAGACGCGACAAAACGCCGAAGCTTGCTAGACTTGCTTCAGCTTCGTGAACATGAAGCGTCGGGTGATGCTTAAGACTACAGTTCTACTCGCAGACATCTTGTTGCAGCAGTAGTCGTCATCGTCGTGTATTTGTGATGGCAGTGGCATGACTAGTGGCCTCAGTGGGTGCAGCAGCAGCAGCAGCAGTGGCAGCAGTTGCAGGAGCAGGAGCCAAGCCTAGATTCTTGAAAAACACTTCCCCCCAACAATCTCCTCCGTGAGAAGAGCCTCGATGTCTTCGCTCTTGAAGAGGCAAGGAAGAACTTTGAAGCGAAACGGAATCAGGCTGGCGACCTAGGTTCGGGGTTTAGGACATGTAGGGTTTCGACTCGCACGCTCGCTCGAGGCAGGCACGGCTTCATGAGGTCTAAAGGGTTTTAGTGTTTTTGGCTGTAACGTACAATGTAGAAGTCGCAGCAATTTCTTCAAAGGGCTTCGGGGTTTGTTATCGCACGTACGCGAAAAATGACCCTAACGGAGGCGTACTACTAAGTACATATCCAGACCGCCGCGTTCAAAGAAACCGTTTTTTTTTTTTTAAGCGGGTTTGGTGCTTAGGGAAACTCCGCAAGGTTAAGAGTTACGCTCTCGCAACTCGGACAATCCAGACGAAGTTCTTGGTCGGCACACAGAAATCTAGAGGACCTATCTGACGGCTGAGGAACAACAACTCCAACAGAAGGTAAAGCCATGTAGTACCAGCCATCAGACAAGTGCAAAACGGCCCCACACATTGGAGAGGCGAGAAATCCCTTATATCCGAAGTGAAGACAGCTCAACAAACGGTAAGGCCACGCAGGACCGGATACAAGGGCTTCCCGAAAACTAAGGTTTAGAGTTAAGGTTTGGGATCTCGCAAGATGTCGTGCTTCAAGTTCGAGACCATTGCGCAAATAGACTACGACTAAAATGGCTTTGGGTGGTTCTAGTATATGCTTTAAATTGGATAGCCAACTACCGCGGGAAGAGGTTGAACATCGGGTGTGAGCTGTAGGACTTGGACTTCTCAGAGCCCTTTTACCTTCCGGTCAGGGTTTAGGGTTTAGGGGTTTAGGGTTTAGAGGTTTAGGGTTTAGGTCGATGCTGACATACTGAAGCAATAAGAGTATCCTGTCTCTGAACTTGCCATCTTCGCGCCAAAAGCTTGCGACAAGACGAACGGATGCGGTGATACACCCTAAACCCCAATAGTAGTCTCTAAACAATCCCCAATAATAGTCCCCATAACCCATTCCCCCATTCCCTTTCCTCGAACAAGCCGAGCCAAGGACGAAAACAGGAAATCCAAGGCCGATGTAGATGTTGCAAAGCCAGCAGCCAACGACCTAAGCTCAGCTCCACATGTGCCGGAGTCTGCTTGTTGGATTGGATACACTAGTCTGCATGTGTGTGTGTGTGTGTCCATGCGTGCTTGCCTGCTTGCTGGCTGGCTTGCTTGCTGGCTGGCTTGCTTGCTGGCTTGCTTGTTTGCTTGCTTCTCTCTCTCTCTCTCTCTCTGTCTCTCTCTCTCCCTCGCTCGCTCTCTCTCTCTCTCTCTCTATCTGTCTCTTCTGTTTGTCTTTCCCTCTTTCTCTTCTCCATTATTCATATCATGGTCGTTTCTCTTCCGGCTGCTTCTGGGACTGTCGGTTACGCACTCTTTCACTAGAGTACCGAATAGGGTACCCTGTTTCCCAAGCAGGTTACAGGACGGCTTTCACATTGGTTTCATGGTTTACCAGACAAAAGGGAAACAGCAAAAGGACATAATGAATAGCGGGCAGGCGACCATGAGGATCTGAAGCAACGTAAAGCAATGGACGGTCTTGAGGGGCAAGTGGCTGTAGCCTCAGGGATGACGGGCCCCGCAAACACTGTCCCGGCCCTTCGTTTCTGCATGCTAAGATCTTTCTTAACCACCGCCTGGTTGACTTCAAGAACGACCTACAATGAAGGTCCAGGCATAGGTAAATCCGAACGGTCCGAGACACTGTCACAAATGCGTGGCTGCCCGCCGGCCAAAAATATGACTTCGATATCTGTAAAAACCATTTCTGGAAGCACTGTTGGACATAAATACCAAGCAACCTTTGCCCGATCGTGGCTTGGATGGATCCTTGGGCCATTCTGCAGAAGACACACCACTCACTATGGCCGTCGTGCACTGTACCAAGGCTCATTTACGGTTCCAGTCCTGCCCTTCAGGGTATGCAAACGTCAACGACAAGCTCAAAAAACAGCAGCAGAAGCAGCCGCATCACCATCATCACCGCCATCATAATGAACGTAGTAGCACAACAACAAAAACACACACCCCTGAAACACGCTAGCAACCAAATTATGCCAGCCGGGATCCACCCAAACAAACAGTGAAAGCCCAGATAAGAAGCATGTGCTCAGAAAGTCACGACTACTGTCACATGCGAGCGGGCCTGAATTGCTTGGGAAAGCACAGTTCGCTACTAGTTGCCATCTGTGTGTCTCCAGCATTTACGTCATGTTCCCACGACCGAGCAGGACCATGAGACCACTTAAGAGACAACCAGGAGACCAACAAGGGACCAGCAAGTGCCCGCCGTGACACCAGGAGACCACGAAGAGACCAACACACTGGCGGGTTTGAAACATTCGAGACCATGGCGGAATCGCTCAAGGACTGGCGGCCGCAAAAGTGCATTCCCCAAAGCACTGGCACGTTTCGGCAGCAGTCGACTTTATGCGTTCGCCCGCGAGATCCAGTTGAACACCCGAAAGCGTTTTGCCCAAATACTGCTTCAATTCGAGGTTTTCCTGTGCAAAAGTAGTCTTAAATTCCTATAGCCCCAATCAGAGGTCAGCCAAAACCATGCACCCTAACACAGCGGCGTACACACACCGCAAGCATCCTGTGGAAATAGTTGGACCTGAAAACTAGCTAACTACGACATGATAGACGGCGGGCAACCATGTTCCGGAACAGCAATCAACACTCTCGTTATTCGTCCCGTTACTCTATATAACATCGCCAGAACCCTATCGTGGTACCACATGGGGAACAACAGTAACAAGAACCAACATAAGACTAACACTGTTACTATTGTTACTACTACCACTACTACTACTACTACTACTACTACTACTACTACTACTACTACTACTACTACTACTACTACCACTACTACTACTCCTCCTCCTCCTCCTCCTCCTACTACTACTACTACTACTACTACTACTACTACTGCGACTCCTACTACTACTACTACTACTACTACTACTACTACTACTACTACTGCGACTACTACTACTACTACTACTACTACTACTACTACTACTACTACTACTACTACTACTACTACTACTACTACTACCAACATACCACTACTAAATACCACTACCACTACCACACGACCATGACCACCACCACCAGCACTACTCCTACTCCTACCCCTACTCCACTCCTACTCCTACTCCTACTCCTACTCCTACTCCTACTCCTACCGCTACCGCTACCGCTACCGCTACCGCTACCGCTACCGCTGCGGCTACCGCTGCGTCTACTGCTGCTACTTTTTTTTCGCAAGAAACATTATAACATCAGAAAGTAAACCCTTTTACACCTGGAATACCCCTAAACCCTTAACCCCTCAAACAGCAGTAACAAACTACTAATCTTCCTCCTGAAAGACTTTAAATAAACCACCTGGGCCGCCAAAGTATGTAGAATTATAGCCTGCTAAAAATATTGGGCCATTTTTCCCCCTACTTTATGGTGGTTTAGGTATAGATCCCGTTAACGGATTTACCTACTTTTGGGGGTCCCTAAACCCTAAGCCCTAAAGCGAAAGACCCTAAACCCCTAACCATAAAAGCAGTAATAATGGCGCCGCGGGGTCGGTGAAGAGGAGCAGAAAGCGCTCCCAGAGCTGGGTGCCCAAAGCGGCCTCAGGGGGGCGGGTCTTTAGAATTCAAGGATTATAGGATTATACATGTTAAGATTTTCGGATTATAGGATTATATTTTAGGATTAAAAGGTTACAGGATTATATTGCGGTTTTGGGTTTAGGGAGGAGGGCTTTTTGGGGTCTTCATAGGGTTTGTAGTGTGTAGGGTCTAGGGATTGGGGTCTATAGGGTTCAGGCTTTAGGGTTCAGAGGTTTATGGGGCGGTACTTAAACCCAAGGAGCTCAGTGATGGGTCAGCTACTAGACCCAAGAGTAGTCTAGGAATAAAAAGGGTGCCCTTTTTGGTTTAAAGGGGCTTATAAGGGAACCTGAACCCCAAAAAAAGGGAATAAGGGCCTACTCTAGGTCCTAGGCTATAATGGTTCAGCACGGCTTGGGTAGGGATTTGTGATGGTTCCGGGGCACTCCAATAGGGTTGCAGAAGGGTCTCGGGCATTGTTGCAATGATAAGAGGGCTTGTTTACAGCGAGTTCTGCTAGTAGGTATGGGGGCTCCGGACTTTGGGCTATTGGAGGACTTGACGTTGATCGCGTTGGAATCAAAGGTTTTGTGGGGTTTTGGTTTTGGCTCCCGGCCTTCAGCCCCACGAAGATGAGAGCACCGCTCACCGCGGTCTCTGGAAGCTTGTTCAGCAGGTCGGGCAGGAAGAGGACCACGCCCATTAACAGGTAGCCAACGAAAGGTGCCACTCGGTTCTCCACGACCCCAGTGGGCTTGTAGTCCTCATCGGTCTCGGTCATAGCGCCCACAAACTGGGGTGAATGCGGCAAAGAGCCGGTCACGAAGGGCAAACCCCAAATCGGTCCTAGAAGGTTAAAGATGGCCATGCACGCGAAGGAAGAATGGAAGTAAGCTCCTTTCCCGAGCATCTGCTCAGGCTTCTGGCACATCAGGCTGGAAATGTTCTGGTCCAAATAGAAAAACATGACGATGGGGATGGCAGCTACCGCCGCCACTAAGACGCCAGTTGCGGATATGCTTCCCATGTCCGTCATCCACTCACGTCCATCAGTCGTAGTCAGACCTGGCAGGGAGCATGTGCATCCCGGGTACCAAACTCAAACTGTTGCCGCAAGTATTAGAGCACTCGGTTTGCTCGAGCCTGTGCTGCTTGTGTCAATGAAGTCCACTCCAAAAAAGTTCGCGTCAAGGACAGCAGCAACGATGGCCAGCACGAAGACTGAGATGGTCAGCGCCTAACACCGTCTGCGGTTTCCAGCGCATATATGCAAAGAGCCGTAATCTTAGACCTGGAAACGGCGGCATCGTCTCTTCGTGTCGGTAGTTCTCTAAATTATGTACCTAAGGGTCCCCTCTTGGCTCCGTTGATCAAACAGGTGCCGCACTAGTTTTGGACTTTTAGAGAACCACCCCTAGGAGCATGACACGTAGATCCCAGGGCTCGGGCATAATCTGAGAGCACCTTTCGGATGGTGTAGGTGCCCCAGGCCTTGACTGCTCTCCGTATTAAGTGCGATCACATTCTGCAGGCGTAAAGATGTCAACTAAACGCCTAAAAGCAACAAAAACAATATCCATGTCAGAATGTATCGACAATATGTTAGCACAGCTTGCCATCACTCGTCTTGGGTACTGCATTAGAAGCAGCAGTAGAAGAGAATTCGTTTGGTTCCTGGAACCTGCACAAAAAAATCTCTGAACCCTAAACCTCTTGAAGGCGTCCGAGAAGCTGTGCTGGGGATGTTGCTGAGGTAGTAGGCCAAGGCCGTGCAGCCCAGGGTCATGTTAAAAACGAGCAGTTTTCTTGCTGCGATGTCTGTGGCGCCACTGTTCCACACACGGATCATGCCCTGAATGCCGTCGTTGATGTAGACCTCGCATGTCCGAATCAAGGATAGGTTGCGATGCCTACTGCAGGGATGGGTAACATCTGAGTGTCAGGCCGTGCCAATGAAAGTTGCAAAGATGTTCTCTGTAAATGCTGTCACATACTTGATGAATCGGCTGAGCTCCGTCGCAGCGATGATAAACATGTAGATACCTGAGGCAGTGGAGGGAGTCCATCTCGAAAACTTTCGAGCAAAAGTGGCATCGGAACGACATGCCAACACCTTCTCGGTGGTGCAGCATGCTTTCGGACTATCTGCAGCCTTGAAGTGCAACTGAGTTTTGGACCCACGAAAATCCCCGTCCAAGCAAAGAGCGGCCAGAAAGGAAGTACAAGCCACTCGCTGACCTGGCAGAGGCTTTCCAACATTCTCCTACTACACGGAAGACCAACATCCGTCGAGCGTTGGAAACACCTTATTAACAAGCTTAAGACTTGAGGCAACGACACGAAGACCATCTGAACCCCAAGTTCCCCCCCCCAGTCTTGACCTCATGGAGCTTCTCAATGAGCAATGTGATCGGCCCGGTCGGGCGCAGAACGAGTAGCGGCTGACAACCCAAAACAGAGTGCCTGGGGCGAGGCCGGGGGGTAGGGTGCGGGGGTGTGCCGTTGTGTTTCTGCTGTGCCTTTCCGAGGCTTCGGACTGACAACTCTTAAGGATCTTATAGGGGCTCCTTTAAGGTCCCTTTCAGGGATCTTGTCAGGATTCCTTTAGGGTTCAGACCGACAACTATGACAACAAAGCTAGAGCTGAGGGCTTGGGATCCAGTTTACACGGTGCCTCTGCTCAGTTGGGTTGTTTGGCTAAGGAAGTTAACTTGAAGCGGCATACCTGGATCTTTCGGCTTCCGCATGTCGACAGTGACCGGTATCAAGTTTCTTAACAAGGACTCAAGGGTTCTCCTACATATTCAGGTTAAGTTGCATATATGACCATGAACACATAAAAAGTGCTCAACACAGCCATAGGCACAGCATGCCCGAGATGCTGTTCATAATCATGTACTCATTGATGCCGATGACCTAGTCTGGGCAGTCACCATCATGACATCCATGACCCCAGCCGCCACCGTACTAGGGTTTATAACGGAACCTACATAAAAGTAGGTTTTGGTAGGGTTTGAAGGCTTAGGGATGAAGGCTCAGGAAGTTGGGCTATCGTTGGGAATGGAGGCCTTAGTAGTGGTTTTGGGGTTTTGGGTTTTAGGGTTTAGGGGTCTAGTGTAAAAGAAGGCCTGACATCTAACTTCACTTCACAAACACGGAGCACCACAGCCACGTAACTACCAGGAGCCTTACTGCTGAACAGGACGGCCACCATAAGAAGTGCTTCCTAAACCCCAAAACACATCCTTTTTTGAACCCGGAGCTTGGTTGATGCCTGGAAGTGAACCCTAAACCCATCCTAAAGCGCAGACTCTGAGCCCAAGTTCTCAAGATCTGAGGCGAGGACTCCATGGGTCACCTGACTCAATTAGAGAGGGTTTCGCGTGAAGGCGTTCATGTCTTGGGGTGTGAGTTAGGGTTTGGGTTTGGTGTTCAGGAGATCTAGATTTGGGACTTCCTGGGCTTGGTACACTTCTGGATTGGCGCGTTTGTGGTATTGCGTTTGGGGGCTTAAGGGTTCAAGGCTCAAGCAGGCCTCACCCTTATTCGTGAACAGCTCAGGAAGGAATAAAACGGAGAAGAGCGTCGGGTTGGCATAGATGACAATCCCAGTTGCGATGAGGACAGTGTGCTCACGGTTGAAACTTGGGAATCGTAGTGTTGCGCTTTGAGGGTTTCCGATTGTTTTTCTCAACGTGCATCGGTTTTCAGTGTTCAGGGCCCTTGACGCAGGCCAGGAGGCATCGTTGATGTGCTTGCCCAAGGCGAGGGTAGAGGTGAAGGTGGCGAAGAAAAGGAACAGCGCACCTCGCAGCCCCGGTGTCACAATGCAAAGAAAAGCCGGCTCCCTGCGGAAGTCAAGTTTCCTACATTTTATAGTCGGATATTAAGTACTGCCTTTGTACCATAGTATGGTCTTTATTGATTCATACATACGTACTTGCATACATATGTGCTACACTACCCTACATTACACATCCAAGCATGCATGCACGAATGCCTGCCTGCCTGCATACATACATGCATTCATACCATACCACAACATAACATAACACAACAGTACATACGTGCATACATGCGTTCATGCATACGTACGTACACACATAAATATATACGTACATACATACATAAACACATACATACATGCATATATACATACATGCACAACTACATACATACATACATACATACATACATACATACATACATACAAACATACATACATACATACATACAGACATACATACATACATAAACACATACATACATGCATATATACATACATGCACAACTACATACATACATACATACATACATATATATATATATATATATATATATATATATATATACAGCTATGTATGTATTCACATATGTATAGGGATAAGTGTGCTTCCCGGATAGGGTTAAAAGACTAAAGCCTGATGAGTTCGGGGATTCTCTGGCTGAAGCTTCCGGAATGATGACCACTGATGAGGATCGGAACTTTCATCAGCTTCAACTGCAGATCCCTTGCAAAACTCAGTTCAAGGTTGCGCGCCTGAGACCGTCTTCCCTTTCATGACGTCCGTGAGCCAGTCTGACCGAAAATACGCGAAACGTCGACGGTAGTCGTCCCTGGGCTGAGACAACTTCCATGATTGCCGTGCGCACAGGTGACACCAAGGGATCAGACTCGAGCCCCTGCACCCGACCTGCAGCCAAGGTGCCGCAAACCTCCGCAGAATCCGCCCACATAGTCAAGGCCCGGGGGCGTCTCCACATGTCCCGCAAGGATCTTGTGCAGCATTCTAGGTGACTCCTTTGGTCCTGCCGCCTCCTTTTCTGGAGCCGCAAACCCTGCAAGATGCAATCACTCGTCCTCGTATTGGAGGCTCACGCTCAGATTCGTCGATGCATGCATGCATGGCAGGCAGGACTGCGTCACGAGCTCGGGCACTAAATGAAATCTTCCTGGTACCACTACCACTGCCACCGCCATCCCCAGCACCACCCCTCCAACACCACCACCTCTTTTTCGATGGTATGTACTCTGCTGCACTGCTGTCATTGTGAAAGCTGTTATCATCACTAAGCCCATGATTCCATGACACCGTAGTTTTGCACGCTGCTGTTTCCAAGAAATACTACACCTTACCTAGCACACAACAACAACATGTTGTTGGCACAGTTAATCTCCTTTGTGAGGAACCATCAAAGCAAAGAGCTTATCAACAACGCGCGCCTTGGCAGCGTAGTCTGCTGGCAGCATCAGCTCCTGGCAGAAGAAACATGTCGGCTATTGCAACCTGAAAGACGGGCTTGGGAGCTGTCGCTTAAAGCTTCTGTAAATAGGTCTGAGGGAGTAGCCCTAGCCTGATACCAACAAGCTAACCATTAACCATTGTCCAAATCAAGCCTTCCGGACTTTCCAGGTTCTGGGCAAGGCCTGGGACCTAGCCTCAGACCTTGTGCCCCAGTCTTTGGTATGAGTTCAGTGGCCGAGGACTGCGGCGAGTGCATGCGGATTCTCGTGCTTTTCATGGCTGAATTTGTCAAGGGCAGGTCAAAGCGTTGTTAGTAGGAAATCATGTAAACTTATAAGCACTTACACCCTGGACCCTTTTGGCACCGGGCTTGGTAAGTCGGCCGATCGGGCCAAAACTAAACGCTGGAGCTTCATAGCAGTCAGGAGTCAACCTAACATGTGGGGCACCTTTTCACTTACCTTTGGTTAGTAGGGAATGGAGGAATGGAATGGGGTACAAATATAACTACTATTACTACTATTCTTCCATTCCCTACTAACCAAAGGTAAGTTCAGCCTTCGATGCTTCAAGCACACGAGTAAATGTACTCCAGGCCTTCTGTCGCAAGGGCCTCTCAGGACCTTCGAAACCTGTCCTAAAGCAATTATACGTCAGTTGAAGTGCCTGCAATGCATGCCGAACTTCCAGAAGTATGTATGTATGTGTGCATGTAAGTATATATATATATGTATACATACACACACATATATATATATATATGTATATGTTATATTTTTTATAGATGCAAGCACATGCAAAACACATGATGATATGCAGAACTAGTTAACTTCACAAATACATATGTTCAGGTATGCACAGCATATTCACATGCTCACAAAGGGTCTTGCCTCGATCTTGCCCACGAGTTCCTGCGCCTTGTTGGAGCCTCAGCATGTGGCGGCGGAGGATCTGCAGACTCCTCAAAGCCTAAACCCTAGCGACTAGTGGATCTGGAGTAAAGGTTTCAAGGGTTAGTCCAGCGTTGCACCAAAAGGGTTCTTAGTCGTGCCTGCAGCTTGAATCCAGAAGCCAGGCACTGTCGCAAGGAGGCGAAGCCGAATGCTATAACTGGACCGACCGGCCCCTTCTTCAAGGGCAGCTGCCGTGCCCGGTCGGCTCGGGAAGGACGAGAGGCTTGAAACGTGGAGATTCAAAGGCCACTGCTCTGTTTTTGCATGGTTGGGGGGAAATGTTTGGGACGCAGGGATGGTCAGGGCACGGGGTTGTCGTCGAACGGAAACCGTCGAGGAACGCGTACTCCGACGAAACCGAGAACAAAGGCCAGCAAGGCAGGTACAGCGGCCCTGAGCAAGCCTTCTGCGGCGGCTTCGGAAATCCTTCAATCGGCCGGGTCTTGGGGAAGCTCTGAGAGGTTGGGGCCCCCTGCGCCAGAAGCCTCGAATCCGATCTCGAAGCTACCTAACAGCGACCTATCCAAAATCCGTAAACCTCGCCAAACAGGAGCCGAGCGATAGCCTGTAAGCCGACTTCACGGCGGGAAAGAGACTGACAAAGGCATGTCCAGAAATGAAGCCCGAAGCGCCCAATAGAGGTGTCTTGATACTTGGAATGGGGTCTTTGGGCTACAAGTTGACGCTTTTACTACTCACTCGGACCCCTTGATGCGCTGAGAGTTTGGCTTTGTCCTGCCTTTTCCACCATGTCGGCCTGCGAATGTTAACCCGCGCCGACAAGCCAAGATTCAGGGATTTACGGGTTCTATGGACGGCTTTGAGGACTAGGCTTCAGCGCGTTGAGATCCTGAACTCTGCTTCGCGTGCACATCATCGAACAAACAAAAACCCGAAGAGAGCCTCCGCCCGTGCTGTCGTGACAAGAACATGTGCCTATAGTGCATACAGTTTTCACAACACGCTTCGGACAGCTACCTACCTGCACGTTGAAAAATGAATGTCGAACCTATCGAAATCTGACGTCAGCCCGACTGCATCGTGACACACGCACTCCAACCCCCCTTCAGGAGCCTAGATGGCAACTCGGATTCTTCGAGATCCTTTGAGAGTAACAGCAAGTATCGCAGATGCACCCAGGTAATCATACGAGCAAGCAGAAAGAAATTGATTACTCCATATTACACCAAGTCTGTCTTGACGGCCCTGCCTGGTAAGGTGTTGCGGTTCCACCATACTCAGCTCCATCGATCTCCTTCATGCTAAAGAGCTGCCAGCTGGGTGGCATACAGTGAAGCGAATCCCACCCTTTGAGACTGCCATGTGCATGCATCGAAGAACCTTCCTGAAATACATAACAGACAGTTCATTGCAAAACCATGCCCTATACCTGGACACCCAAAGTATGTGGAATAATGGCCTTTTCCAAGGTATTGGGCCATTATTTTACCTACTTTGGGGGTTTAGGTGCGACTGGTTCTTCCACTGTCGCCAATTCTCGAGAGACCCGATCTGTTCGAGGAACTCCGGCATTCCTCAGCTCTAGAACTGGACCGACAAAAAAAAAACGATGCGGGCTCAGCGCAGCGCTCGATGTGATCTACCAGTAGAACCAGTAGGCTGTTTGGATTACACCTGTTACAGTCTTCCAAGAAAGGGACAGAAATGGACAGAAAAGTCGTAGGGCGAACCAGGCATGAAATCACAAGCTGCGTAACATGTCTGACGGTTTGTTAGGCCCGCTGCAAGCTATGGCGTAAGCAGCTCAAAACGACCCGAGTAATTCCTCATTTGAGGTCCTTCAAAATCTCATCGCAGGTGGTGCCGAGCTCGGTTAGCAGAGCCTGCAAGGGTCGCAAGGCTACTTCAAAATAACTTATTTTGGAAAGTTTATCTAGGGTACTGCGGGCACCTGGGCTTCCAGGAAAGAGCCTGGGATCGCATTGCCTGTGTCTGATGACCATGCGAACCCTTTGGCTAATATAGGAGCCTTAATAATCAGAATAGGGTTTTGGGGCCCATTATACTATAGTTATGATAAGGAGCCCCCAAAATAGTATAGGTAATTATTGAGGCCCCTATAGTATGCTCTCGGCATGACGACAAAGCTGCCCTACAGAGTCTTGTGCTTCTCGTAAGATCAGGCCAGTAGCCTCCAATGAATCTCCTTCTCTGGGCCTTGAAGGATACTTGGAACTCGGAACCGCAAATGTGTGAAGTTCAAAACAATGTATCGTGTGTCACCTCCTGACCTACGTATCACGCCCCGTCTTTTGAGCTGTCCTGCTAGCTTTCGTCCATTCCAACGCACGACCTTTGGCCGACTAGCCTCAACCCTAATAAAACACCCCAACCTCAAGCTTATAAGCCGACCTGGGACAGTGAGGACATATGAACATATATACATATAAGTATGTAAGTATATACACACACGCGATATTATATATGTATGCATATGTATATATGTATATATGTATATATATATATATATATAGATATATATAGATAGACTTGCGGATGGATGGGGCGGGTCGGTGCCTCGGCTGCGGGCTTTTCAGCATCTCTGACGGGCTTGAGGATGTCCTGGGTCTGGGTGCTCAGACTTCCGGTGCCATATTTCGGACCGTGGTTTCCTGATTAAGCAACCGTTTGATCTTACTATTGAGTTATAGGCCCAAAGTTTCTTAATCAAGTTCCTACATTAGTAAGGATCCTAGAACTGTTGATGATGATATATATATATATATGCTGCATCACCTATAGCAAGGAATATTCCATAATTCCCATAGTCTAGGGTCATGAAGGTAATGCAGGATTTACATCATCAACGATATGGGCTGTCGGTCTCAGGTCTGATTTAAATGATGTCCATTGTCCTTGTTGGCGACTAACTCCTACATCTTTCCGTAAGGGTCCAAGTACCTAATTATCATATACTCTCCCAAACAGTAACCTACATAACTACTCTCCTAAACCTAAGTACCCGATTATTGGGTCCTTTCGACCCTCAGGGTTTGCCAGGGCATCGCCGACGGCCAAGGTACTGCAAATGCGACGTGCGCGCAATGCACACCGGGCTTCAGCAATAGGTCGGTGAAGTAGATGCGCGTACCGCCACGATGCCGTGGAAACTATTCGGCATGTACTGTAGGAATGCTGAAGTGCTCAAGCCCCAAACTTGATACTTCACTCACATCTTCTGGGCCGCTACAGTAAGGAATAAGGGCAAGCAAGGATTTCGGCGGCGGATCCGCCAGCCCCCACCAAAAGCAGGAGGTTGAACAGATTTTACTCACAAGCCCTACGTCATGAAATCAAAACCCGACACAACCCTGTCCTTAGACTTCTGAGAGATCTTCTTCAAAACGTCCGTGATGCCTCCTCGGTTTCGGTAATGATCAGAGTCCAAACAACGAACAAAGGCCGAGGGCTTAGGATTCGGGGCTCGGGGCTTAGGACAATGCACAGCCGCACATCGCAACTGCCCCGATAAACCCTGATATTCAAAATCATGTATTGACACAACAAACTTTCACTACTGATGCAAATTCAACGGTAACAGCCATGATGGTTTTACGAAGCAGGAGCAG